AGATCAAAGAAAAGAGAACGAGAACAAGGAATGATTGACATGGAAACGAAAGAACAATGAGATCTAAGACAATTGATTGACATTTTTCAAATGAACTATTTACTGTATGGTTTTCAGATTTTACTAAAACGTTTTATAATTTGTGTATTCATATACATTCGATTGTCTTCACTTGTGTTCTTGTTCACTACAATGGTACAGGTCTATAACAGATGGTTCACATCATGAATAATGACAACCAATTCAAACAAAGCTAGATTTAGTGTGTTTTCTGCAAATTTAGCCCTTACATTAATGAATCAATGAGTATCAATCAATGTCATGTAGTATAGCCTTTGGCATTATTCACATCAAAATATGGTCATAATCTTAGGTGATTGAACTTCATAGTCGAAGTTGGTTATATTTACGTGGAAGGAGAAAATTACGGAGATTCTCTGATGTCAATTTTTGAGCTGATTTGCAAATTCCAGAAAAGCGTATCTACTCTCTTGTAGAAATTGATAGATCCTCTGATTTTCAAGTCTGGATCACCTAGTTTTTCAGTTGGAGACATATTTATTGAATATGATGGTCCCTGAAAGACCTGTGGGATAGATGATCAATTAACTAGTAGTTCATATAGCCTTAAAGCTTAAACAACAGAATATTATTTTCAAACCAGATATCGATTTGCATAAATATCTGTTTTTCTGCTATAGGTCATTTGCGACCTAAATAGTTCATAAGCAGTGTCTCTTCCCTGTGAAACTGATTGGTATGGTTTTGAATCCCACACGGAGCACCAATTCACACAAGATCCCAAGATTAACTTTCTTAAGAGAACCCAATAACATAAAACCTAGATCCAGAGCTTATTGTTGCCTACCTTGAACCACCTAACATAAATGCTGTACACTGCTTAGGAGTCCGATACTAAGACGAAACGGCCTTAAAATAGTACTTCCAAGTTTTCAATGGTGGTCCAACATTGATCGATTCATGATCTCAATCAAATACAAGGTAGCACCAACGATAGACAGACAAGTGAATTTCGGTGAAAACTGATTCATTTTACTGAGTCTTATTTAGGATTAAAACTGTATTTCAGTAGCCTTGTAGTGAACGACGACTTCATAGGAATAACTAATTTATTATTTAACATGAAATTACAGAGTTATTCACTAAAATGTGGAAAACATACATTAAGTGCTTCATTTGCAAGTCTTTCATCAATTGTCCTTTACATGCTTCATGAATTTTCCACTTCTCAATTCCTTACCGTTTCCCTTCCCATTTTCCGCAGTTCAATCTTTTCAAACTTTTTTTGACAGGCATTTCACCCCTTATTGGTGTTGTATACTACTTATATCTTTGGAGAAAAGACTGTGCTGCATTGTGGATAGTGTTGAAGGCAGTTAGAAAGGTGTGTGGTGGATTTTTTGAGGTCATTATTAATATGCTTGTGAATAGACATCTTAAGTCTTGCAAACTCCTGTCAGGTGTTATCATATCAGATACTAACCATCTACTTCATTCATATCTTTCTCATTCTTTATATCTTCTGGTAGAACGAGACGTAAATACATTTAAATCCATGCATGCAAGCAAGTTCTATAATACCTTACCTAGCAAATATACTCTGTGACGAACAGGTTATTAGAGTTAACCTAGTCAATAACCTGTATTCTTAAGCATTTCTCAAACTTGATAAGTTGTACAGACTCAGATTTATTTTTCACCTTCTTTTTTCATTTTATGGGACCCTTATCTGACTCCAATTGGATCGTATTAATATTATTGTAATATACATGTAACCAATCCTCTTATATAAACATTAACACTTAAATTACATTAGTGAATAAGTATACTTTGTACAATCGTTAATCGGAACAAACAACCAAGGAAGGAAATGATGAAAAAGAGAGCAAAACAAAACGGCTCACATTGGAGAAGCCATGTAAGCCTAATCAATTTAACCAAGCGTAAAATGATACTTATAATCAGACAAAAATATGCTCCTATAAAAAAACAAGGTTGATAAGTAAATAATTAACCAAGGTTAAAACGTGACTCAAAAAATAAAAATGGATAAATTGGTCTGTTCAGAAGCTAAAATAATTTATTTGGGTTTAATATAGTAACCGACACTATAGTATGTATCATTAATTCATTGTTTAAATTCACTTAGTATTGTTTGTTTGAATCTTTCCATTGATGTTTACGACTGCAACTAGTCAGTCTCTTATTGATCATATATGCATACAGTGTGCATTGCCTCGATATAGTCTTAATTCACAAGCATTATAAGCAAAGATGAATAGTGGCTAGCAGTGGAATCCAGTTTGACGCGCGTTTCGTCCTATTTCGGACTCTTGAGCTGGATGTACCTGCATCTCAGAGTTGATGTTCACTCTGGGACTCGAACACAGTACCTTTCGCTTCAAACACCATCGCGTTATGCACTCAGCTACTGATTCCTGATAGCCATTTGCTTGTGAAATAGGGTGAAGTTTAAATTCACTTAGTATTGTTTGTTCGAATCCTTCCATTGATGTTCACGACATCAACTTCGAGATGTAGGTACATCCAGCTGATGAGTCCCAAATAGGACGAAACACGAGTCTTGGATTCTACTGCTAGCCACTCTCCATCTTTGCTTAGAATGCTTGTGACTTAAGGCAATATCAAGGCAATCCATGAAGGATGCATATATGCTAATATGAGAGACTGATCAATTGCAGACCTAAACATTAATCGGAAGATTCAAGCAAACAATACAAAATGAATTAAAACTAAACTAGTCTTCAATTATTAGCTGATCAGTCTAAGGGAATTTCCCAAAAATACAAATAAAATAAAAAAATAATTTTAATAATTGAGATCACGTGCCAATTGAAGCTAGACCACCATGGTAAACCTGGAAGCACTGGACGGCTGTTTCATCCTATTGTGGGACTCTTCAGCAGTGCTCATCCACGATCCCTGCTCGCGAGCGCTTAACCACAAGATTCATGATTTCAACTATGAAAATACTGATATATCCACAAAACCCCTTCTGATATAAAGTATAAGCATTTAGAATACTTAAGAGTTACTCACTCACTGCTGTTAATAGGTAGGATGGTTCCTATGAGGTAACATGATGACTCAAAACCATATGAAGTAAGAAATGTAAATGTGATCAGGTGTATTATTCACTTAATCATAGTAACTCAGTCATTCATATTCAAAATATATCCTGGGACAAAAGTACATCTGTTCAAGTTACCACAATGTATCAGCATAGCAAGATGAAATTATCAAGACAAATATTAGAGTAGTGAATATAGTAACCATATCAGTGGTATTAGAAAGACAAAACATAAACACTGTGAATCGAAGAGAAGAAATGAAGTCGTATAGTGAAAAGCTTAAGTATTTTTAGGAAAAAGAACAATGAACACAGCTAACTAATTAGGAAAGATTGTGAGTTGTAACATCCAACATCTCTAACTACTAGACCTCAACCAGGTAGTCTTCACCCACAATCATGACTGAGGTTCACAACCGATGATTTGTATAGAGCGATCTCATGTTTTCTTCTAGCTCTCTTCTAACCTACCCCTTTTCTAACCGTCGTCACCTATCAAGATAGACAGTGGTTGGAAATGCATACTTAAGTCGACGAGAACTCAGCATGTCAATAGAAGATTTTCTACATCCATCTAGTACTCTTTATCTAACTCCTAGATATCTCTGTCATAAATACTCTAATATTAGGTAAATTAAACATGATTTATGATGTTAGTGCTAATCATGTAAATAAATATCGATTACAAAACAATACAGTATGATGTGTGTTACTGATGTCGATAGATATAAGTAGTATATACCGTCAATCAAAATTGAATTGCCTGGAGCCAGAAGGTTAAGAAGATCAAAGAAAAGAGAACGAGAACAAACAAATAATTGGTATGGAAATGAAAGAAAAATGAAATGTGTGACAACTGATTGATATTTTATAAATGAACTATTTACTGTATGTAAGCAAAGATGGATAGTGGCTAGCAGTGAAATCCAGGAAGTAAGTTTCGTCCTATTTGGGACTCGTCATCTAGATGTACCTGCATCTCAAAGTTGATATTCACCGTGGGACTCGAACCCATCATCGTTCGCTTCAAACGCCATCGCGTTATCCGCTCAGTTACTGAGTCCTGATAGCCACTTGCTTGTGTAATGGGGTGAAGTTTGAATTCACTTAGTGTTGTTTGTTTAGATCTTCCCATTGATGTTTAGAAATGCAACTGGTCAGTCTCTCATACTGGCATATGTGCATAGCCTTAACTCACAAGCATTATAAGCAAAGATGGATAGTGGCTTATAATGCTTGTGAATTAAGACTATATCGAGGCAATACACACAGTATGCACATATGGCCAATAAGAGACTGACCAGTTGCAGTCCTAAACATCAATGAGAAGATTCGAACAAACAATACTAAGTGAATTTACTAACTATATGGTTCTCAGATTTTATTAAGACGTTCTGTACGCTTGTGTTTGCATATATTCGATTCTCCTCAATTATGTTCTTGTTCATGACAATAGTAATTAAAAATTTATTATCAGAAGGGGTTTAATGGAGATTTTACTAATTTTATAGAGTTTAGATCATGAGTCAATTGAAACTAGACCACTATGGAAAACTTGGAAGCACTGGACGGCCGTTTCATCCTATTATGGGACTCCTCAGCAGTGCGCATTCATTTATTCTTAAGAAAAATCAATCATATCTTAAATGAGAAATGTGGTTAACCTTTATTCAGTAACTAAGTAAACAAACAAAAAAAAACGAATAAATAAAAGTAATATATTTGTAATATCCTAATGAATAGAAAAATTAGATTTTCTAATGTTTCGTCACTCAGTTTAAGGCACTTCTTCAGAGTAAAAATAAATAACTTAATTAACATTAATCCAAGTTTATATTAATACAACAGAACAATATAAATATAAGGTACGATCAATCAATTAACTTACATGTTTTTTTTAAAATCAGAATTAAAATAAATTAATCAATACATGTATCCGAATCCCTGTTTTTTTTTTGTTTTTTGTTTTTTTGTAATTTTAACATTTTTTTTCAATATTAAATACATATAAATAGATAATTCCTCAAATATACTTTCATTCGCTTAGCAACAACATCCACAGCAACAACAGCTATAGCAACAATTGTAGATTGATAATACTATTAATTTTTGTAATTTATCAAGTTAATAAATATTGAACAAAAAGAGAAAATAAAAAACAAATCAAAAAATATTAAACGTTGTATTCATGTATATTCATGTAGTTAAACCATAGAGATATGACAGGGATACTCGATGAAACGTTTTATCCATGTCCATTATTTATGTTGTCAAGCCTTAGAGATATGATAAGGATACTAGATGATCTTTTGAAGAAGAAAAAAGGTACAACAATATTGAAGAAGTTTATTTATTCCTTTCAATAAATTCCATACATTCTGAATCATAATTGAATTTAATTTCCTAGTAATAGATCATCATCTTTAAAAAAAAGATTTTTTTTAAAAATTAGATCTCATAGTTAACTTTATTTCTGTTTCTAGGTTTATCCCTACGCATATGGTCAATATTTTTGTCCAGATGAGAATATACTACTTATTGTTTGTATCTATGTATGTATGTACGTACGTACGTACGTATGTATGTATGTATGTATGTATGATATACGTAATTGTATCAATGCTTATCTATTATGGGTTAATTTGTTAACGTGTGTGTGCGTATCCGTGAGCGAGTACGTGCGAGCGTTCGTACGTGCGTGTGTATATAATCCTTGTATCTAACTCATTCCTATCATTATTTCTCCCCTTTAAATCAGACCAGGGGAAAACAAAAGAAATTTTTTTATTTTTGAAATGAGTAGCCAATTACTACACAGACTAGTAGTCTATCTATATATTGGAAAGAATAAAATATCAATAGTTCATTCAAAGAACATCTTTATAAACCAACCAATCAACAACTATGATACATAGCAACTAGAATGAGAAATATAAAGACGGGCAAATTTGAAATGATGTCTCAGATAACACATTTTTTTTCTAATTTAATCAATATTCTTTATCGAAAAAAAATAATAAGAGAAGGAAAATAAATGAAGATTTTAATATAAAGCGAGAAGTTAGATGAAAACTTTAGAAAAAAAAGAGAAGAGGATACAACTTATAGGCTAAGAAATAGGATCTGTTTAAATGACTTAAGCTAAACATTTACATAGTTGAAATCATTAGTCAATTGAAGCTAGACCATCATGGAAAATGTGGAGGCATTGGACGGCCGTTTTGTCCTATTGTGGGACTCATCAGCAGTGTGCATCCGCGACTTCGACTCGCGAGACTCGAATCCAGGACCTACCAGTCTCGCGCCAGAGCACTTAAGCGATAAACCACGGTGTTTATGTCTAACTCCAACCAATCCACGATTTTGAGCAACCGTTCGCCAATTGTCTTCAGTGAGTTACTATCTCACAACAGACGTGTTTTGAACTTCACTGGTCACTGCTTCTCACTAGAACTCCTGGATTTACCTCTCGAAGTCAGCGACTAGTGAGCATATGATTATTATTATTATTATTATTATCAGAAGGGGTTTTCTGTGGAGATTTAGTATTTTCATCGTTGAAAGCATGAGTCAATTGAAGCTAGACCACCAGGGAAAACCTGATTCCTGTTAAATATTACTCTTTAATCTATTTTTCATTGATAATTTGGCAAGACTATTACTTATGAACAAACCAATCAGATTTAAGATAATAGATCTTGAATTTTGGCGTGAAATTCATTTTCATCTATTTATTAAAATAACATTTCGTCATTTTTAAATTATGTCACTTCTTGATGATAAACCTTAAATCTAATTGCTAACCCTAACCATTAATTGTAAATCATTATCCTAATTCTTTACAGCAGTTGTAACTCCCATTTAGTTCTAGTTAGTAGAAGGGTCATTTTAGGGTTGATCAAAGGTCGTCTATAAACTATAATCTCCCCCCTTCCCCCGATAATTCTTTTGTCGGAGATAGAATCACGTAAAATCTGAGACGATTGATTGATATTTGTAAAAAGGAACAGTCGAGTTGAGACAATTGATTGATACTTTACAAATGAAGTATTTACTGTATGGTTCTTAGATTTAACTGAGATATTCTGTAATTTTGTATCTATATACATTCGATTGTCTCCACTTGTGTTCACGTTCACGACACTGTTATACGCTATACTATTCATTATACTATACGTTATAGGATTCTGGCCCCCAAATGCCCTGGTACGGCCGAGAGTGGGGAGAGTCCGCTCTCCCTCTCCAAATGCTCTCACATGGCCAGCGAATATATAGCCCCTGCCAGGGAAGTCCTACTCACTGCCTTCTCGCACCACGGGTGTTGTTTACAAAATTGAGAGGATGAAAAGCGAATATCCGACGCTTTAACCGGGTTGGTGGACATGGAAAGTCCACCTAGGGGAGTTGGAAAACCCTGATTCCAAACCAATGGTGAACATGGGCTCCAGTATCCTGAGGGAACAAATGGCATATGAATCAATCGTTGGTCAACGGCTACCATTGGACTGCATCTCCTTAAGATGCTCCACTGTATTGTGGGTTAGACCTTTAGGTCAAAGACTCCGAGTGTGGCCCCCTAAAAATACCACCTGCTTCAGTTTGGGCACCTGGACAGTATCACAGCTCCCACGCAAATCGAATTAGATTTGTGCGGCGCATATATATCTGGCGATTCCTTGTACCAATATTTATGTGTTTAAATAAATAAATAAAATCTTAAGTTATTGTCAATTTATTAACTAAAGTCTTTCGCAATCACAGACACTTTTTGGCCTGATCTTGTATAATTGTTATTTTCTATTTTATGGTATGATGTGATCTGATTTGTTACTATATAAACCAACTATGTTTAAAATATATTATTCATGAAGTAGAAGTTTTATTCTGGATTCAAAAAGACGGAGCTAGGCGGTAGGACCAATAAGGACTCAGAGTTGATTCTAGACTACTCGTATTGGTTTATGTTTCATTGGTCTAGTCTATAAGTCAGTGTTTTAATTGTCGATCTTATCACTCAATGTAATTTAACAGGGTCAGAAGACAAAACAAAATAAATACCAAAGTTTACAACCAAATCAACTGATGAAAATATCGGTAGGTGATTCAATTACATTCAATTACAAGATGTATTTGGAACTCAAAGAAACTCATTGTTTTATATATTCGTGTTCATGTCAATTAAGGTTGACATAAGCTTTTCGGGTGGGTATAATATGTCATCATTCATATCACTAAAGGAATATCATTTCTTCTTTAAAAAACTGTAGATACATCTTGGGAGTGGGTAAAGTAAGCACGAAACTTACAATCGTTATTTTATGGGATAATTCAATGGGTCAATCACAGATCGACAACATGGTAAGCCCAAGTGGATAACCAAGATTTGGATTCCTTTTCCAAAGAATAAGAGGCACCCAATTAGTGAAGAAAAGTGATTTGTATCTTTAAGGTATGCATATATACATATCAGGGCATAGTTATTTGTCTATTCAAATGGCCAAAGAATACTTTCCTTGTCACTCAAGTAATCGACAAGGTTACTGAATAGAAAGCCTGTTTATCAGTATTACTATCAAACACCTCACAAGATAACATATACGAGATCCAATAAGTTTGTGTTTTGGTCAGGTCATGAGTGTCGAGAAAACTCTATGAGGAATTTTTTTAGTCCTGGCTGTTGAACAAAGTCGAGGAACTGAACTTACTTAATGTGATAACAGGAAGAGTTGGTCAACTCTATAAAAATTTAGATTTTCTGGGGGTAAAGTTAAAAAAATACTGAAGACTTAAATCAGCCCAATAATTTTAATTTAATATAGAAACTACCATAAATTAATCAGTAGATAGCACAAATCTTTATTGAAGCATCAGTCACTATCAATCTTTGATCCTATCGGTTGACAAATTCAATGACAAGTTCCCTCAAAGTAATTTTAACGTTCCAATTCTATTGAATGTAGCGCCAGCTTAAACATTTGGGCCACCTATTCCTGTCATCTAGATAGTTCAACAACTTATCTAATTTTGTTTGTTTTAATACACTGTAGACCGTCAATGTTGATGATCTATGTCGAATGATTGGAGGCCTACTCGAGTTAGATGGGAACGGTGTAACGAACAAACTAACTTTGAAGTCATAACTCGCGATCAGCACCTTACATGGATTGCCCCATTGATGTTCTGAAGACTGTACAACACATAGGACGTTAATACAGGAATATATTAGTTAAGGTAGATACAAGCGAAAGTAGAACCACTGCAGCATGGGATAGTCCATGAAGTATGACTAACTGATGCGCATCGATTGTCCTTGACCTTGACGGAATAGATGAACTGTTCGATATATAGTGACCCAACTGCCGGATGGTTTGGCTAGGGTTCAGTGACATTTCACTAGTCCTACAACATTATTATGGTTGTTAATCGCACAACCTATTCACGTGTGTTTCTGAAAAGTGTACGACCTTTAGATGTAAAGATTACAAAAAGCCTAATCAGAGATATCGTGATTGCTGGCAATATACGCCGAAAAGAATGTATATTATTTAGATGTCAATTGACTGGACTGCTAACTTCTAACTGTCGATCACTCAAATATTTGTCTTCAGGATCGACCAAGAAATAAGAAACGGAAACATGTTGAAATACTTTTTGCTGAGAATTCTTTATTGTGCTAAAAATATATTATTGAATAATGCTAATAATAATAGACTGGTAGGTCCTGAGTTCGAATCTCGTTAGGCGAGGTCGTGGATGCGGAATGGTAATGAGTCCCATAATAGGACGAAACGGTCGTCCAGTGATCGCAGGTTTTCCTTAGTGCTCTAGCCTCAATTGACTCACGCTTGCAACTATGAAAATAAAAATACCATCGATCTACTCACAGAATTTCCCCTAGTCCTTTGATTCCTGAAAACAAATCTTATTTATTTGTTTCAACACATAAATATTGGTACAAGGAATCGCCAGATATATATGCGCCGCACAAATCTCATTTGATTTGTGTGAGGACTGTGATACTGTCCGGGTGCCCAAACCGAAACAGGTGGTTTTCTTAGGGGGCCACACTCGGAGTCTTTGACCTAAAGGTCTAACCCACAATACAGTGGAGCATCTTAAGGAGATGCAGTCCAATGGTAGCCGTTGACCAACGATTGATTCATATGCCATTTGTTCCCTCAGGATACTGGAGCCCATGTTCACCATTGGTTTGGAATCAGGGTTTTCCAACTCCCCTAGGTGGACTCTCCCTGTCCACCAACCCAGTTAAAGCGCCGGACATTCACTTTTCGTCCTCTGAATTTCGTAAACAACACCCGTGGTGCGAGAAGGCAGTGAGTGAAAAGAAATCAGAAATCACTTGTGCTCCTTCATTCACATTTTAAAAAGTATGATGGAAACTTTTGATACCTTTATGATCGAAATTAATTTTAGGAAATGCCGATCTCAATATTACTGTTCAGCTTTCTTTTAACTAAATATGTGACGAACAACGTTTCTCAATCAAAACAATGTCAATCCACCTGATCTATCCAGTTATTTCTCGTTCATAATAATAGGGAAAATTGTGTTTACCTGCTACAAACAAATTTCTGATAAAAATAAAGCATATCCCATGAATATGCATAGTGTTAAACAATACTCAATTCAATTTGGAATGTTCACGTAAGTTGATACGATTATCCCCCAAGAAATTAAAACGTAATCACTATTCTATGGTCCAAGCAGTCTCAAAAACATCTAAAAAAAAAGATACTCCAAGTTGTATGTAACAATCTTACAGTTGGGACACAGTGATTGATTATTTTGTTACTTAAGGGATAATAAGTGAAGATATACTACTACTACTATTACTACTACTACTACTACTACTACTACTACTACTACTACTACTACTACTACTACTAATACACTATTATGAATTTCTCAACATTCAGTTTGCATAATGAGTTTACAGTTAGTTCTTTGTGACTACAAATTAAAGTAATTGATCAATCTGAAGTTCAAAATTTTCAGTTTATATTACAGGATACAAATATCTTTTAAGTTACCTAGTAACTATGGATGTTATTATTGAAGTAAAGCAAAATTCTATAATGTACGGTAATTATCGATCACAAACAAGCTGAGCACATATCATCTGTATTTTAGTCATAGTTTTTTATGTACTACTTAATATTATTAAGTAGTACAAAATAATACAGTTCTCTTTTCAAAGTTGAAATCATAAGCCAATTGAAGCTAGACCACTATGGAAAAACTGGAAGCACTGGACGGCCGATTCGTCCTATTGTGAGACTCCTTACCAGTGCTTCCAGGTTTTCTATAGTGGTCTAGCTTCAATTGACTCATGATTTCAACTATGAAAATACTGAAATCTTTACAAGACCCCCTCTGACAGTTTCTGTTTGTTTGTAAGTTGTACAAGCAATTAATTCACTTCACGAATTCGAATCAAGAATGTCACCGACATTTATAGAATATGATGAATTAATTTCGTTACTCTACTTTCTCTTCAGTTACATATAAACTCATCAGTTCAATTAGTTATAATCAATATTAATCATTTGTAAAATCAATAACAAGTAGTTCACTTAGTATTGTTTGTTTGAATCTTCCCATCGATGCTTAGGACGGCAGTTGATCAGTCTCTAATTGGCATATGTGCATACTGTGCGTATTGCCTCGATTTAGCCTTAATTTACAAGCATGGTAAGCAGAGATGGATAGTGGCTAGCAGTGGAATCCGGGACGCGCGTTTCGTCCTATTTGGGACTCGTCAGATGGATGTTCCTGTATCTCAGAGTTGATGTTCACTCTGTCACTAAAACCCAGTACCGTTCGCTTCAAACGCCATCGCGTTATCCACTCGGCCACTGAGTCCTGCTTGTGAATTAAGGCTATATCGAGGTAATACGCACAGTATGCACATATGGCCAATTAGAGACTGACCAGTTAAAGTCCTAACACATCAATGTTCAGATTCAAACAAACAATACTAAATGAATTTAATTTTCACCCCATCTCACAAGCAAGTGGCTCTCAAGACTCAGTGGCCGAGTGGATAACATGATGGCGTTTGAAGCGAGGGCACTGGGTTCGAGTCCCAGAGTGAACATCAACTCTGATATGCAGGTGAATCCAGCTGACGAGTCCCAAATAGGACGAAACGCGCGTCCTGGATTCCACTGCTAGCCACTATCCATCTCTGCTTACCATTCATAATTTCCTTTTTTTTTGATATCAAACAAACTAGTGATGGTCAGTTAACTTAATGAACCCATTACAGATCTTGACAAGATTAATTACAAATGACATAGAGTATTTTTTTTGGCTGTTTTGTAATTATTATCCTTCCTACTTATTTATTCCTTTGATTCCTTAACCTAACTTCATAGACTATTTAAACTATTCATTCTTTCATTATGTTTACTATTATGTCACTTGTTCCTCTTGAACTTTGTGAGAACATTGTCAGCTGAATTAGATCTATATGTTATGATCATTTTTGTCTTTCTGTCGTTGTTGTTGGGGGTTTTTCGGGGGGGGGAGGTAAGTCATTGGAAAACAATTTGACACATTCATTAATTATGAGGTTCAATATTATTTTATTTAGTATAGATTAGTAACAAAATAGTTTCCATCGTACCAGACATTAACAGTTGACCTTAATTACACGTAAATTAAGTTAAATACAAACAACCAGTTACCCGCATTAGTTGAATCACGTGCTGATTATTGTTATTATTCGGAATCGAAACATTAATTACAATACTAATGAATGACTGATAATTAAATAGTAATTCAATATTGACTTGTTTTATTACTGTTGAATTGAAAAGATCATTTATGAATTATGAAATTGAGAGGTTTTGTGGAGGGAGATTTTAGCACTGAACGACCGTTTCATCCTATTGTGAGACTCCTCAGCAGTGCGCATCCACGATTCTGCCTCACGAGATTCGAACTCATGACCTATCAGTCTTGCGCACGAGCGCTTAACCTCTACACCATTGATCTGGTCGGCATCCAACAGTGTTAATGTCTAACTTCAGTGAGATGTCGGCTAATTGGTCTAGTGGTTAAGCGCTCTGATGCGAGACTGCTAGGTTCTGGGTTTGAATCTCGTGAGACGGGATCATGGATGCGCACTGCTACTGAGGAGTCCCACAATAAGACGAAACAACCATTCAGTGCTTCCAGGTTTTCGATGGTGATCTAGCTTCAATTGACTCACGCTTTCAACTATGAAAATTAAAGTTTTTTTAGTCATGTAAATAGAAAACTTACATTATTATTATTAATCATCCAATCAGATTGATGTTTCATTGATGTTTTTTGTGTAGTATTATTATTTTTGGTGAAAGTTTTCGAATTCTCTTGTTCTGAATTGACATATTTTGTTTGAACTAAAGAATGAAACCAAAATAAAAAAAGATCTTTATTAAAATTAACAATAGGCATGGATCCTAACAGTGTCTGAGATCGATGGGTTCCGGGTTCGAATCTGGAGAGCAGGAACTTAGATGTCCACTGCTGAGTTCTATACTAGGACGAAACAGCCGTCCAGTACTGACAGGTTTCCTATAGTGATCTAGCTTTAATTGACTTATGAATTCAACTATTTAATTACTTTAATATTTTTTTCTGATTACAATAATTATCATCCGTTATTTGGGTGACATTATAAGTTATGAACGAACCAATTAGATCTCACATTTTGATGCGAAATCCTTTCATTTCTTTGTCTAAATAGCGTTTTGATAGTTTACCTGATGTCAGTTCGTGATGAAAACCATTAATTCAGTTCCTAAACCTAACCATCGAATATGAATCATCATATTTCTTATTCTTTAAACTGTTTTATAACTCTCACTTAGCTCTAGTAAGTAGGTGAACATTCTCGAAGTTACTAAAGAGTCATTCAAAAGTTGTCTACAAATTATAGTTTCACCGGTATTCGTTTTATAAGTAGATGAAATAATGATTATCTCTATCTAATAAATACATGAATTGAAGTAAGTTAATGAAATTCAGGTTATCGGAAATAATCCATATAGTGAATAGTTTCCTAATTGATTGATCACTGGGTGGTGATCAATGTCATGAGTGTCAAGTCCTTCTTAGTGCTGATCAAATGCTGTCGATTAACTTGCATTGTAGCCACTAGTCTAGGTGGCTTGACACTGTGTGCACTAAGTTGAGATAAGATGGTGGTTGGAGGTGGTCAACGGGAAACGCTGGACCTGGGTTTCGTGCCACTTGGCACTCGTCAGCAAGGTGTACCTGTAATCTTGAGGGAACTGGTGCTCCTGACGGATTCGATTCTATGTCACTCAGTTTTGCAGTTAGAGACGTCACCACTGAGCTATTCGGGCCGCGACTGACCTCCTGTAGGACTGAGATGTAATCACAATTGATTGATCACTGGGTGGTGATCAATGTCATGTGTGTCAAGTCTTTCTTAGTGCTGATAGAATGCTGAGTGACACGGGATTGAATCCGTTATGGAGCATCAGTTCCCTCAAGATTACAGGTACAACTTGCTGACGAGTGCCAAGTGGTACGAAACCTGGGTCCAGTGTTTCCTGTTGACCACCTCCAACCACCATCTTATCTTAGTGAATAGTCTATCAGAAACACTAAATTTTGTATATGTTTGATAGTTTCATCGATACAGGAGTTTGACAAAGATTAGGATCTATTTAATCATTGAAATCTGTATAGTCTTTAAAGAAATGCTTGATCTATCTGAAAAGAGTTGTTTTCATAATTTCTTTTATTTTCAAAGAAACAAAACGACCGTTAACATTTTGTAAACTTCCTGATATTCTGGCATAGTTCATAACTAAAAAAATTAAAACCTTAGTCTATCAGCAAAGATGGATAGTGGCTAGCAGTGGAATCCAGGACGCGCGTTTCGTCTCACTTTGGACTCGTCAGATGGATTCACCTGCATCTCAGGGTCGATGTTTACCCCGGGACTCGAACCCAGTGCCCTCGCTTCAAACGCCATTGCGTTATCCACTCAGCTACTGAGTCTTGAGAGCCACTTGCTTGTGCGATGGGGTGAAGTTTAAATTCATTTAGTATTGTTTGTTTGAATCTGATCATTGATGTGTTAGGACTTTAACTGGTCAGTCTCTAATTGGCATATGTGCATACTGTGCGTATTGCCTCGATATAGCCTTAATTCACAAGCATGGTAAGCAAACAATACTAAATGAATTTAATCAGATATTGGTATAAACTATTATGTTTTAGCAGTATGAACCAATCAGTGTTAGACCACCATAAAAAAATCGGAATATCTGTATGACCATCTCATCCTAGTACGAGACTCCGAACCAGTGAGCATCTACGGCCTCGCCAGCTAAATTCGAACCCAGCATCTTCGGTCCCGCATTCAGACACTTAGCCTCAAGACCAATGAGCAGGTGTTCACTGCCGTTAATGTCTAACTTCAATCAATCCACGACATTTTACTACCATTTATCATTTTCAGTGAGTACCTTACTTACACTCAGAGAGGTTGAACTCCACTAATAACGTCTTCTTAATAGAACTCTGAGGATTATTTCTAGCAGCTAGTCATTAAGTGAGCACATGGTAATTATCAGTATAAGGTTATTGAGATTATTGAGTTCCATTGAAATTTATTTTAAATTGGCGATACCATATATTTACCCCATGTACTCATGCACATTCAAAAACTGCTGACAATCTACTGGGAAGTCCCAAAATCTATAATTTAAGCGGGAAATCCATAGTACTTGATATATTATCCTTTATTTCCATTCTTTGGAAAGACGAGGGACGGTTGGATTGGTATCAACGCATTTTATGTATCATGAGATGTAAATAAATATCATAGGAGTAAAATTGGTTGAAAGCGCTAGTTACTGACTTACGCCTGTTATCCCTCATAGAGGAGCATAGGCCATCCACCAGCAATCTGCATTCAACTCTCTCCAGTTGTTTCCGGTTGCTATTCACTCCTTCGATATCTGCTTCCAATTCCCGATGCATTGTGTTCCTTGGTCTTCCTCATTCCCTTTCCTCTTCGGAATTTCAAGTTGACACTTGTCTCGTGATGTAGTTTGATGATTTCAGAAATGTGTGTCCTATCCACTTCCAGTATCTTTTCCTAATCTCCTGTTCAGTTGGAAGTTGGTTTGTTCTCTACCACAGTAGACTGTTGTTGATGGTATGTGGTCGGCGGATATTGAGTATCTTGTGTAGACGATTGTTTATAAATACCTGTGCCTTTTGAATGATATTTGTGGTAGTTCTCCAAATTTCAACTCTGTACAGTAGAACTGTCATGAAGTTCGTATTAGAGACTAAGACTTCGATATTGGTTGACAGTTGTTTAGAGTTCTTTATATTCTTCTACTGTAAGAGTTCTGTCCTTGCTTTTCCAATTCTCACATACATAAAGGTATACATACCTCGTGAGCAAATATATTTTACGTGCACACCGGTAACATGGTTTACCCCATTGCATCCCATAGCACACACGTAGGTATATTCATCCACCTGAGAGGATAGATGTTCACCACTCCCTTCAAATGTATTTGCTACACCAAGCTGACTTTTACACATTATATGCATATCATTCACACAATGGCTACGCTGCAGTATTTTCACACATACACATATACATAAGCACTCTCCTAGGAGAGATTGTTGGTCGCCTCAGCCTGGAATTTGCTATCACCTTTTTAGATTATGCTTTCGATCTGACAGATAAGGTGTAAATTTTATTAGACATAGTGGAAGACACTTCTGCAGCTAAACATTTCCTTTATAGGACACCGCATATATACCGTCTGCATAAACCTATATACTCGAACTACATTGACCGGAGAACTTCTACAATTCTCATACATAAACATTCACATCGGATTGCCCGAGTGGTAAGGTAAGCTACAGCAGAGTCACGAAAAGGTCTTAGGTAAGATTTTGCTGCCTACTCAAATAGGTTTTGACCCATAGACTATTATTATACAATTAACCGTTCTTGAATCATGTCCAGTCTATTAATTACAGTCTCCTATATTTATAATCATTTTTGGTTAGATTTTGTAAAAATATTATTTTCTATTTTGTGGTATCATATGGCCTATTTAGTCTGTATATAATCCAAGTGTGTTTGATTGATGTTCTGGTCTCAATAGTCAAGAAGAAGAATAGATAAAGAATTTAGACTGTTCATACACGGTCAATAAATCACTCTCCTTTAATTAATGGTATCATTGCGTTATGTATATATTTCCGAATGCGTCACAAGGCAAACCCTCACATAGAATCCTTAATGTCAAAGGAGAAGAGGAAGACCAAAGAATACATTACGCCGAGAAATGGAGACAGATATGAGAAGAAAAAACAAAAATTGGATAGAACTAGAAAAGAAAACCCATGACAGAGTGAGTTGGAGGATTCTTGTCGTCGGCCTATGCTCCATTGGGGGTAACATGCGTAAAGAAGTAAGTATATATATAAATATAATTTAATAAAATGCAACGGTTGTGTTTACATTGGTTGATCCCTGAATTATTATCAAAGTACACATACTTGAAGTGCTATTTTGAACTGTAAAGCATGTTGTAGAACACAAATAATAGATTCTAAGAGTGTTGCACTAGGTCCTATACTCCTATCTTATCATTAATATAATACGATTAATACATAGTAACTATTGTACTCATATTTTTATCCTTCTATGTGGTTGAGGAAGGTGACAATTCGGACAATGAGAGAATCCTTAAATCTTTTGAAACATAAGGAGAATAGTAAGTTTTTGTGAGTAGTATGGAAACTTGGTAAAGTTGCAGATGCGAAAATTGTCTAGTTTCTTGTTGACGGAAAAATACTAAATGTTTCAGTAAACACTGAAACAGGCTTAATTATTAGTTCAGCTATTGTTCTTTGGGTTGTCACAAAAAAGCTTCTTTATTAAGTAAAGAAGAAAAAAACTTAAGAACTTACGTTGCAAATTGACCTTGTGACAATCCTAAACCTTTAAAAGGGGTTTCATGGAGAGTTTAATAATTTTATATAGTTGAAATGATGAATCAATTGAAGCTAGACAACCATAGAAAACCTGGAAGCACTGCTTGACGGTTGTTTCGTTCTACTATTGGACTCCTTGACAGAGTATATCCACGATCCCATCTCGCGAGAGTCAAACTTAAGACCTATTAGTCTCGCACACGGGTGCTTAACCACTGGATTATTTACCCCCTTATTCTTTTAATCGATAAAAAAAGGGAAAAAAAGGAGAAGAAAAAAGAAAAAAATAATCAATATTATTGATTACCTTTAGTTTTAAGTTTATAATATTCATTACGATATAATTTAGCTTTATTTTGTGCATTTTTTAATGCACTATAGAAAACCTGGAAGCACTGGACTCCTCAATGGTATTGATAATTCACAATCTCGCTTCACGAGATTCGAACCCAGGACTTTAACCACTAAACTATTTACCCCCTCATTTTTAAAAATCGATAAAAAAAGAAAAAAATATATTGATTTTTTAAAAATAAATCAATATTATTGATTACCTTTAGTTTTAAGTTTATAATATTCATTACGATATAATTTTGCTTTATTTTGTGCATTTTTTAATGCAGAGATTTTAGTAATTTTATTTAGTTGAAATCATGAGTCGATTGAAGCTAGACCATCATAGAAGACCTGGGAGCACTGGACGGCCATTTTGTCCTAGTTTTAAACTCCTCAGCAGTGCACATCCACAATTCCACCTCGCTAAATTCAAACTTATGATCTATTAGTCTTGCACACGAGTGCCTAACTACTAGACTATTTACTCCCGCCCCCCCCAAGTTTTTTAATCGATAAAAAAATAAAAAAATAATAATAAATCAATATTATTGATTACCTTTAGTTTTAAGTTTATAATATTCATTACGATATAATTTAGCTTTATTTTGTGCATTTTTTAATGCATCTAATAAAATATAATTTTCAATTTTAGAATATTTTGTTAATTTATATATATCATTATTATATTGTTTTATAATTAATGTTTTTTTATTACGTTCTATATCAATTTCATTTTTTAATCTTTCTAATAATTTTTTAATATTAATCATTGATAATAATTCATGATTTGATTGATTATTTAATTGATTATTGATTAATGATGGTTGCCATGGTAACTGTTGTTCATTTGATAAATGATGATTTAAAAATGGTGCTGAATGTATTGAAAATGTTGGTGAATTCCTTGATACATTATCTATATTATTATTATTATTATTATTATTATTATTATTATTGGGATAAACTGTTTGGTGCCTTGGATTAGTTGTTGTAAGATTATTAATATTAGTATTATTATATGTAGATCCAGATCGATTCATTTTGTTGCCAAGGTTACTCATGAAAAAATTAATAATAACATTAAAATTTGAATTAATTGATTTTCAATAAATCAATCATGGTTTTTTTTTTTGATGATCAAAATATTCCATTCATATTCAATTATTTACTCATAGATACTAAAATGGAAAAGAATTTTTAAAAAAAGAAATAATTTTCAAGATTGTTCTTGCTGTTCTTGTTGTTATTGTTGTTGTGTAGCACGTTATATTTTGACGTTCACTTGGGAGAAGGAGTAGGAGCAAGAACAACCTGAAATAATAACACAATAGTCAGGACTGATAAATGCCTCTGAAATGAGAACACGGTATGTTGGCATAACAGATATATATATATATTTTTTTTGAAATTGAAAGACACAGTTCAAGTACCGAAAAAATCGGGGGGGGGGAGGAAGTTATTACAAAACAGATTTTACTCGTTATTCTGTAGGTTTAGATCGTGTAGCGGCTTGTTCCTTTTCTTCCAGTGTATTTACTCTTTATTGCCATGCAATAAGAAATACGAACTTGCATTAATAATGTTGTATGCAATGATTTTTAATATCGTTACAGTTGTTGTAGTTGTTGTAGTTGTTGTTGTTTTTCGTTCCTTCTTTCTTTTTTGAACAGGATTGTTAAGAAGAAAAACCAAAACAACAAAACAAACCAAAAAACAATGTGCTTATTGATCAATGAATCCGAAAAAATAAAAAAAACTTTTTTTTCTTTTCTTATATCAGTAACACTGATTGGTTAACTATGTTGATTAGTAAATATATATATATACTATATATAAACATCGTGGATTGGTTGAAATTAGACTTTAACACCGTTGGATGCCGGCTCATTTGTCTATCGATTAAGTACTCTAGTGCGAGACTGATAGGTCCTGGGTTCGAGTCTCATGAGTGCAGGATCGTCGATACGCACTACTGAGGAGTCCCATACAAGGATGAAATGGCCGTCCAGTGCTTCCAGGTTTTCCATGGTGGTTTAGCTTCAATTGACTCATGACTTCAATTATAAAAATACTGAAATCTCCACAAAACCCCTTCTAATACATATATATATATATACAAAATAAACACTTTGACCTATAAACTTATGTATTTATACACTACAATTACTATATATTTGTTGATAATCAATCAATTAATCACTAGGTGGGTTTTCAGTTTGTAGTATCTATTCGTAAAGGGTACCGATATATATATATATATATATATATATATATATATATCTTGTCATTGTTCGATTATGTCAATATAATTCAAAGTAACTGTACTATTGGTCCACCAGGGTGTTTGGTACCTAAGTGGTTGCGCCACATGATTGGGCTGTAGTGTTCGGATTGTAGAGTTGAAGTCTATATAGTATCTAATTCTCCTATAGGGCGGGATTGAGCTGTACTGGTTGGGTTGTTGCATGAAAGTCTAGATGGTATCTGGTTCTCCTGAAAACCAGTGCAAGATTACACTGGCCCATAAGGGTATACTATATAACTATAACTGTACTATTCTTATTGAAACGAATAAAGAAAGAAAAAATCGAATTAGTGATCTAAATCATTGTGAGAATTTGTAAAGATGGTAGTATTTTCATTATTGAAATTATAAGTTCATCTAAGCTAGGTCATAATTTTTAAAAAAAACCCTGAAAGAACAGTTTTAAAACTGTTTCTGTCTAGTATGGGACTTTTTAGTAGTTCAGACAAATGATCTTGTATTCTGAACTAGAATTCAAGATTTTCGGTCACGTGCGTGACTATGTGTCGAGTTTGGGATAGTTATTCACCTGAGACAATGAATGAATATGTTATATCCCATACATAAATTCGGGAAATCGAAAATTCAGATATCATCTCCGGATCTCTCAAAAAACGAGAGGTGTTATATCCCGTGGAGATTTATGAATGGCAACTTTGAGAACTAGTTATGGATCAATATGATCCGTATATTTTCTATTGTATAATTGTTAAGTAATTAAACTATTCATATTCGTGTCCCTCTTATTATAGGCTTTATTTTCACCTCTGAACTATTATTATACAACTAACCATTCTTGAATTATCCCCAGTCTGTTGACTACTGTTCCCCCTATTCAAAGCCACATTTGGCTAAATCTTATACAAATGTTATTTCCTATTTCATGGTACGATGTGGTCAGTTTGACTAATATATAAACTCAGTATGTTTGAGAATAATGATTCATATTGCAGAGGCTGTTATTGGTGTTTTGGATTTAACTGACTGGGCTAGGCTAGGTAGATAGCAGGACTGATCATACGGCTTTTGTATATCACCGGTCCGATCGATAATTCACGCCTCCCTAGTTGGTGGTCTTACAGCGTCATCTATAAACAAGGCACGCACCCAATCGATAAAACAGAAGGGTTTTGAAAGGTCATAGATCAATTAAATGTAGATATTAACACTGTTGGATGCTGGCTCAGTGTTCTAAAGGTTAAGCGTTCACGTACGAGACCCAAGGTTCTGGGTTTGACTCTCATGTGCCGGACACTAGATGCTCAATTCTAAGGAGAAATAGGTGGATTTATCATTAAAATTATTAGATATAAGACACAGAAAAATCTTTATTTAGGTTCCAAAATCACTCATGGGCATTATTCAGTTTCAATAATTTATCCTGTAAGAAAGAACAGCATTTCATTTTCGAAAATTTTATCAAAATAACACCGTTGGTGATTTATATGAAAGTAACTTGAATGTAACTGAAGCAAATAAAAGATCTTAGTTAAATACTTCTTCTATACTACCCTTACACTTAGACGAATATAGACACAATGTATCGATTAATTAGGATCAACTGTATACCATATACAGTTAAATTATATAATCAAAGTGAACTGAATCAAGGTTTGGATCTACAAATATTTAGGTGAGACCATGTTATTTTTGCGAATATTTGTTGACTTACAACATTAGGTAGTTAGAGTATGAGCCTTGAAATTATGTATTGCACATAGATATTATCTCATAATAATAAGGATATACTCAATAGTTTAATTGTTTATACTATAATGGGAGCTACCCACAAGGATAATTTTAAGTATTGTGTTTCGGAGCTTGGAGTCGAAGTTGCAACAATGATCGGACAGAATGAAGAGTTTCAGTATATCGAATGCACGGCATTGGAAGAACACTTGAAGGACAGTTGAGAGGACAATTTAGACTACCGAACACACTGAGAGATGCAAGTGGACTATTGAAATTTATGTATATGGATTATGTAAATACTTTGTAACTTCTTACAATAAACATACATACCTCCTAAATTCATTTATCATTGTTTGTTTGAATCTGACCATTGATGTGTTAGGACTGCAACGGGTCAGCCTCTAATTGGAATATGTGCATACTGTGTGTATTGCCTCAATATAGCCTTAATTCACAAGCATGTTAAGCAGAGATGGATAGTGGCTAGCAGTGGAATCCATTTGGGATTCGTCAGCTGGATGTACCTGCATCTCAGAGTTGATGTTCACTCTGGGACTCGAGGCAATACGCACAGTATGCACATATGCCAATTAGGGACTGACCAGTTGCAGTCTTAACAAATCGATGGGAAGATTCAAACAAACAATACTAAGTTGAATTTAAACTTCACCCCATCGCACAAGCAAGTGGCTATCAGGACTCAGTGGCCGAGTGGATGACGCGGTGGCGTTTGAAGCGAGGGTACTGGGTTTTAGTGTCAGAGTGAACATCAACTGTGAGATGCAGGTACATCCAGCTGACGAATCCCAAATGGATTCCTCTGCTAGCCATTATCCATCTCTGCTTACCATACATACCTCCTGCCTATTACCGTATTCTATAATCACAGTAAGTATTTTACACACACCAACTTGAGAAAAACTGATTCTCATTGATAACTTGACTTGAGTAAGTTGAGACGATATGAGAGTTTTTGAATCTAACTATACATTTACTATCCCTTGAAGAAATTATGTAAACCTTTTAGGCAGAATAAGAGCATACTATTCTCGTTAAACTTATGTGTTTATTAGTACTACATATGTATGCATAATTTTAATTGTTAGGGATGGTCTGCTTAAATTTACTGGTATATCTCACAACAAATTAGCGATCAATCAGAAAACAAATTATTATCAATCTCAGCTTTATGACAATAACCCATTTCGATTTACTTTTATAAATCAAAATATGCTACTTATTATTTATTAGTAGTTTGACTTATTCTCAATTATTTTGCAGCTTATCTGTTAAGTAGTAGATTTTTTCCAATAAAGCACTGACCTGATTAGTATACAATTTTATTATATTGTCTCCGTTCATGGATCTACTTAAAGTAGATTTATTCTTGATCGCTAAGATCTTTTCACGTATTTCGTATTTGAAAATGAGATAGTACTGAAAAAATATTTCAGCCTATTACGAACCTCTTCAGCAGTATGCGTTTAAGATAACTAGGTTTCTCAGTCATTAAGATGAATTTATTCAACTTCAGTTACCTTATAATCTTGAGTGAATAATATCAGTAGCCATTATCAATCTCACTGTAGTTGAAGTTCATCGGTCACAACTTCTCATCAGATCTATGGAACCTTCTCTCAAATTTAGTGTTTAGTAAGTGTATATTTATTATGGAAAAGAGAGGTCATGAAGATATGTTTCAACATGAATTTGCATTTCATCAAGGTCTGACTTTATGTCATCACTTTGATGATGTGAAAAGTCGTAATTTTTCTCTAGTCCAATAATGAAAATCAACCATTTTGTAGCAGTTCACAACTGCATTTACAAGAATATCGAATGGATAAAATCCATAATAATTTAATCTATCAATAAGTCTCGTGTTCATGACTGTTCGGACGAAAAAGTCCAGTATATTTCTAAACATAATTCAGCAACCTCATCAAACTAGATCATTTACATCCGTGACACCTCATTAAAATTTGTTCTTTTTAAGAAAATAAACAAGCTACCTAATATTCCAGCATATTTTAGCTCTAAGAAGTAACTTTGATTACCGTCTATTAGTGAGTACAATATTTTTGGAAAAACTTTAGTGATCAAACTGTTTTTTTGTATGATCGATGGAAATGAAGTTACTTCTATAGTAAACGAGAACACAGGTGAGGACAATCAATTATATTATTAAATTACAGAGTTCTTTGATAAAATAGAAAAACCATACTCCAATACTTCATTTGTGAAATGTTCATTAGTTGTCTCAGATTTCATTGTTCTTGTATTTCCATACCAATTGCTTTCTGTTCCCATTCTTCCCTCCTCGATCTTCTCAAAATTTTGCTGCCAGATATTCTATTCATGACTAGCGTTATATACTACTTATGTTGATATAATTAGCACATACCACACTTCTATTACTCTGAAACGCATATGACGATTTACTAGTTGTCATTTGAAAGTAATGAAACTTTTTAAAATATATTTGACGTTTGGTTACTGTCTAATGACTTCTATTTTAAAAGTACTCATTCAGTGTAGTAAACTATCCTTAGTTTAATTAAAATTACTTGACTTCTTGATAGTTACAATTCTCGAAATTGTCTATTACACTGTCAAGAACGACTTTTTGATTTACACTTTAGTCTTTTTATAAAAAACAGAGTTTGACAAGGAATAAATGGTTAGTTTTCTAACTAGGCTTAAACCGTTTGTTACTTACTTACTTACTTACGCATGTTACCCTTTGTGGAGGAGCATAGGCCGCACACCTGTATTCTCCACCCAACTCTGTCCTGGGCAATCCTTTCCAGTTGTTATTCATCCTTTTCATATCTGCTTCAATCTCCCGGCGTGATGTGTTCTTTGTGATTCCTCTTTTCCGCTTCCCTTCAGGATTTGTAGTGAGAGCCTGTCTGGTGATAGAGCTTGGAGATTTCTTCAATGTATGTCCCATCAACTTCTTACGTCTTTTCCTAATTTCCTCTTCATCTGGCAGCTGGTTTGTCTTCTCCCATAAAACGCTGTTGCTGATAGTATCCGACCAGTGAATGTTCAGTATTTTGCGTAAACAACTATTTATAAATACATGTACCTTCTTGACGATGGATGTAGTAGTTCTACATGTTTCAGCTCCGTACAGTAGAACTGTCTTGACGTTCGTATAGAAGATTTTCACTTTGAATTTAGTTGACAGTTGTTTTGAGTTCCATATGTTCTTCAATTGTAAGAATGCTGTCCTTGCTTCGCGAATCCTCACCTTTACGTCTGCATCATATCCTCCTTCTTCATCAATGATGCTTCCCAGGTACATGAATGTTTCCACATCTTCAAGAGTTTCTCTATCAAGCATGACTGGGTTGGTGTTCTCCGTGTTGTATTTGAGAATCTTGCTTTTTCCTTTATGTATGTTGAGGCCTACTGATGCAGAGGCTGCTGCTACATTAGTTGTCTTCGTCTGTTTTTGTGCGTGTTTATGAGATAGGAAAACTAGATCATCTGCGAAGTCCAAATCATCTAAATGATTCTGAGATGACCATTGTATTCCGTGCTTCCTCCTAAATGCAGAAGTTTTCATAATCCAGTCAATCACCAGAAGGAAGAAGAAGGGGAGAGTAGACAGCTTATTTGACTCCTGCGCTTACTAGAAATGCATCTGTCAGCTGTCTTCCATGCTCGTTTATGCACTGTAGTCCGTCGTATCAAACCGTTTTGTATTATTAATTAATTGAAGAAATTAAAGAATACTTAATTGAATACAGTTGACCAAAATTTTATTTATTTTTGCAGGCGTTAAATATATCCGCTTGTGTTCGCTGACTTAAATGACATCAAAAATCTGGCAAATGAATCATATGTTATATGCTATTGTAGTGTCGGTTAATATGTTAGGCCCATATGCCTTATTCTAACTTCTGGACAAGCCAATTCACCTATCTAGCTTGAGTTATGCTTCGACCTTGTTAATTATTCACTTGTTAACCCTGACCATTTTTATATGAGCATGGACGTGTGCACACTTCTTATTCTATTTATCACATGTCTGTCATTTATTTTTGTCTGAATTTTCGTAGGTGAAATCATGAGTCAATTGAAGCTAGACCACCATGGAAAACCTGGAAGCACTCGATGGTCAACTCGTCCTATTGTGGGGCTCCTCAGCAGTGCTCACCCATGATCCCGCCTCGCGAGATTCCAACCCACGACCTACCAGTCTCGCGCCAGAGCACTTAAACGATAGACCAATGAGCCGGCATCCAACGGTGTTAATGTCTAACCTCAATTGATCCACGAAGTTGAGCAACCGTTCGACAATTGTCTTCAGACTTGGTTGAACTCCAATGGTCACTACTTTCCACTAGAACTCAAGGAAACACTTCTTACAGTCAGTCACTAATGAGCATATGATTATAGATCAGAAAAGGTTTTGTGGAGATTTCAGTATTTTCATAGTTGAAATCATGAGTCAGTTGAAGCTAGACCATCATGGAAAGCCTGGAATCACTGGATGGCCGTTTTATCCTATTATGGGACTCCTCAGTGGTAGTACGCATCCACGATCCTGCACTCGCGAGTGCGGTACAACTGAATGCAAATAAATCAATATTATTCGTACGAATGCATTTGACATTAACAAGTGTAGTCAGATATTGTATTCCAAAATGGCCTTACAGTGATGCAGATCAGATATGCTTGTGTTAAATGCCATAGTCAACTGTGAATTTTATAAAGTGTGCAGCATTCGATCTGAAACATGTTGTATACTACGCATGCAGACTATGCAATTCCCCTTTGGATGTATCCTAATTCACAAAATAGCTAGTTGTCTTGGTTCCGCATCATACCCACTTAATAATATTTCTGCTTTCTACCTGAAGTTTTCAGTGATCCATTGAAACTACACACATAAACTCATCAAACGTAAGTTTCATCTGTTCCATCCACTTTTATTAACAATCAATTGGGCATTGAAAATCTCGTACTGAAACCAAATATAGCGCTGCTAATTCAAGAGGATGGCTAATAGTTTGTTAAGATTTGTCGCTCATAACATTTTGAATTCATTTGGACATAGTACGACGTCTCTGTTCTAGGTAAATCATTCTTCTGGTTGGAATTTTCTGTTATGAAGTAAGTATTGAGTGGGTGTGTTTTTTTTTGTTGCATAAGCCTATTGCTCTGTTTATCATAGTTTTCCTTTCATATTCATAGATAAAATGTTCCTAATATCTTTAATATTCACTTACTTAGAGTCAACCTTGTCATCCTGAAGGTAGGTTTAATAAGTTATGGATCACATTTATTGTTGACTCGACTGATTTTCAAATATCTATACTAGTCTTAAACAACGTTTCCAAAACGATGATAGACGTAAAATGCTAGCAGCGACATATGATTAAACTATGGTTTCACTGAACCATGTAACTGCTGCTTAACGGTAGTGTCTGTCTTTTATTGAGACGGTTAGCTGCTCCCTGCCCTAATCCATGGTTCATCTTCACGTATGAGATCTCTGGTAGTTAGAGTTGGTGTAGGTTATAGTGTAGTATCGGTTGATATGTTAAGCCCATATGCTTTATTCTAACTTCTGGACAAGCCAATTTACCTATCTAGCTTGAGTTATGCCTCGACCTTGTTGATTATTCATTTATTAACCCTGACCATTTTTATATGAGCATGGACGTGTGTACACTTCTTATTCTATTTATCACATGTCTGTCATTCATTCTTGTCTGACTATATAAATTGAATAATGCTTGACAAAAGTGAGTTGGCTTACCTGCCATCTCCAACGCGTGTCATTTATGCTTCGCTCGCTGATATTTACTCATTTGCTTATAACTTTCTGGCCTGCGTCGTTTGTCAATAAAACTGTAGTTGCCGCTTCTCTCCGCCTTCTGATTTTATGCATTGTTAAGATTTTTATTATAACGGTTATCGAGGTGAACGATTAACGAAGCACGGCACTACAATAGGTAAGTAATTCAACCTTCGTCCTCAAACTATGGTGTCTGACTGTGCGCCGCGCTATCTTGATATTCCTATTTTTCGGCTCAGTCTCGTAGAATTGGTTGGTGTAACCCAGAAAATTCAAAAACACCAGACCTCGCTACCTATTTACAATAGCTAGTGATACTAATTTAACAGTATCCGGTATCAAATCTTGTTGCAATCTATGGTTTTCACATGCCTGCTTCAATTTCAAGCGCAGCTATAGCCACCATATTTTGTCTAAAAACGTAGACGATACTGGGTGCTAGAAGTTTTAACAACATTTGCATCGCATATATCTTAACCTTAAGTATTTCACCCATAAGACCTATATGACTGGGATCAAAAGTCATTAGAAACTGGGATCAATACCATCTACTCCCATGTTCTTTTAAACTCACTATTACATTATCCTATATTCCACTTGTGTACTGACTCGGAGGAAAGTGAAACTAAAGTTTTGTAGTGCGATTTGTAGAGTAAATAAAATTAAAGTATGTGCTTGCGAACTTCAGATATCGTTGTGCTCTCATTGAAAAAGTAAGTCGTAAGTAATTTTATGTTGCAATGGCTACGCATAGCCTAGTGCCATCTTTTATGAAGTGGCACTTTCCGTAATATTTAGCAATTTAAACTTCGATGCGTTCAGTAGCAAAACAAGTTATGCTACGAGTAACTAACACAAAATTTGACTTCATTAAGTAGCGCATCGTTCCAAGCTATTACATTCAATACAATGGCATCTTGGTCCTCTTCCACTTTTGTAAAAGTCTCATAAGTCGAATTATCGTGTTCCAGAGTGGTAAGAGAAATCACCTAAGCAAAAACAAGACAAGACAGTAGTAACTATAGTGTTGGGATACGTTTACAACAAAACATTAATAAGTTTACTGTACATGGATAAACTTTGGCTTCCTATGTTTTGGTTTTTTTCACTATTGATCTGTATGTATTACCAATCCTAACCAAGTAACGTCCATTTACGCTCATGAGTTTAATCGATAAATAATGACCTCACAAAGCAGTCAGTCATTTTGTATGATTGTTTTGCAGTAAATGTTTTTTTCTCGAAAACTGTATATTAACCAAATGAGAAACGTACCGTGTAAGTTCACTAACATGCTTTATTAAACATTTATGTCTTATGATTATCGTTTGGTGTAACTCATTTTTTAAATGTGGTTTTGTAATACGTACATTATCTACACTCTGTATCTTATAGTTTACCAGAATTTATTGTCATGCACATCATCCTAACAAGTAAAATTGGTGTTTTATAATTAAGTCTTTTTCATAGTTTTTTTTCATTACAGCCCATTATCGCAGCAACATAGTGTAGCTAGTATCGGGAGCTTGTTGGGCAATTTGCCTTTACAAGGGGATTCAAGTTTACAACAAAAAACGCCACTTATCCCTGGGGGTTCAGTCAATCTTAACTTACATGCGTCTGACAATGCCGCCAGCATTCCAGGTAGAACACCTTGTACTCCGCTCACTTTATCTACTCCGTTGCAAGACCGAGATGGTGCAATCCCAGTACCTCAATTACAGTAAGTTCAGTCAATTACAACGCAGTTTAATGATCCAAAAAAAATTTGTCTTCTAGTTCTACAACAAGTAACCTGAAACTTATGATGGTATACATGTATGTACGAATTATTCGCTAATTAGAGTAGTTGTAGTAGTCATCACACTCCGTTCATAAATATGTACTGAGCTCTCAAAATAATATCCCCTGTTGACCCATTTTATCTACAATATACTCCTACTGGCAACTAAGATCGATGTATATATGTACGTTTCTTAATCGCAAACATTTAACCAGTTGATCAATGGTTCTGTTTTCTGAAACTTGGTTGATTGGGATCGTGAAATTAGTTTATGAGAAATTATCTGTTTAACCATTTCAGTTATCGTTTTTATTTAATTAGATTGGTTATCTCATAATTTATTATTTATTTATTTAAACATATAAATATTGGTACAAGGAGGCACCGAATACATATGCGCCACACAAGTCATGTGATTAGTGTGTGGGCTGTGATATTGCCCAAGTGCTCAGACCGAAGCAGGTGGTTTCCTTAAGAAGCCACACTCGGAGCCTTCGACCTAAAGGTCTGATCCACAAGGCAGTGGAACAACGTCAGGAGATGCAGTCCCATGGTAGCCGGTGACCAACAAAAGGTTCACGCGCCATTAGTTCCTTCAGGATTTTCTAACTGCCCTAGACGGATCCTCCGTACCCACCAACCCGGTTAAAGCACCGGACATTCGCTTTTCCTCCTTTGAATTTGATGAGCCCATGTGCACCATTGGTTTGGAATCAGGGTTTTCCAACTCCTCTAGGTGAACTTTCTGTGAAAAATATTTGTCAAATCGGCATTGAAAATCAATCAATAGCGAACAACTTTGTTGTCATTTCTCCAAATTTGTTATAACCCACAATCTGTAATCTCCTTATGGTTTAAATATAAAGTCTGTTAAAACATAAAACACATCATTGAGACAATCTTATTAATATGTAAATTGTTCAGAATCGTTCGCCATGGCGCAGGTGTATTCACTCTTTGTGCTTCCTTAGATCCTGAGTCCTGAAATTTGCTTAGAATATTTTCCTTCGTACTAGGTCAAATGTTTTCTTACACTGAAAAAGTTACCACTCATGGAGTTGTCGTGATAATTTTAACTCACTGTGCCAATGTGATGTTGGAACTTGGGACAACACACATGCATGTCAGATCCTACATTGAATATGACTGAGTTAAAATATATATTATTTCAAAAGCAGGACAACAAAGTTGCCCAAATATAAAAAATGTGGGGGGTGGATAATAATGATAATAATTACTTAACTGCAATTAGTTTTCAGTCGTCATATCCAAAATTCTCAACTGGTATTTCCAGCTAATTCACATATTTGGTGCTAAGGATATGCTTTATCCATACGACTTCAATATAAATAAATAAATTCGTTAATTGTTTTTACACTTTGTTCTGACTGTATTGTTTACTAGAAAGAGGGATAATAGGCGAGATCAGTGGTCTGTAGTTTAAATTCTCTGAACATTTGTTCATGATGAAACTTGTCCTTAAAACTAACCCGCGGATTTTTTCCCCATTAAGTTGTCGGTAATTTGATCTCTTTATGGCAAATTAAGTATTATTTTCCATCAATATTGATACACTTCCATCTTAGTTAATTAGTTTTTACTTGTTCTTTGTTTTCAAATAAGGAATATTGTATGTACAGTATATTTAGGATGTAAATTAAATCTGAAGAATATAGCACTTAGTGCTCGAAATGCTGAATACAATCCAAAACGTTTTGCTGCAGTTATAATGCGCATACGTGAACCTCGGACAACTGCTTTAATTTTTTCTTCTGGTAAAATGGTGTGTACAGGTGCAAAAAGTGAAGAGCAAGCAAGACTAGCTGCAAGAAAATATGCTCGTATTATTCAAAGGCTTGGGTTTGAAGTAATTCTGTCATTATATTATATACTGTATGCAGTGTTTTTTACTATCCGTTTAGATTTATTTATTTAACTTACATGCAATCAAGTACAACTGATCACCATATATAGGATGTACCATTAAAAACATGTAATTCTCAAATTGAACTAGATGGTCTTCGTAGAAGGATAATCCCTGAACCTCTGAGGTTTATTCCACAAAGCAGATATGAGGGATTCCCAGACAGTTTGTTAACGCTTGGTCGTATAAAAGCATTTCGAGGAGTAAGGTGGACTCTTCTCACCCTCAGTTGTACTAGGGCGTTTGAGAGCAACTTATTACATTTCTAAATATTTGGATTTTATTGGAAGTTGAGGGGATGTGTTATAAAATCACTCTGGTGTTGGATTCGTTTTTTCTGTCTGGCTGTGAAAAATGATGTTTAAAATTGTGGCTTATCAAAGATCCTGTAGAACCATTGCTTTTGCATAGTAAAACCATTAACGAAATAATACTAAGGTTATTTATTATTCATTTATTTGAACACATAAATATTGGTACAAAGGGGCACCGATTACGTATGCACCACACAAGTCATGTGATTTGTGTGTGGGCTGTGATACTGCCCGGGTGCCCAAACCGCAACAGGTGGTTCCCTTAGGGAGCCACACCACTAGTCCTTGACCTAAAGATCTGATCGACAAGGCAGTGGAGCATCGTGAGGAGATGCAGTTCCATGATAGCCGTTGACCAACGATTGATTCATACTCCATCTGTTCCCTCAGGATACTGTACCCCATGTGCACCATTGGTTTGTAATCAGGGTTTTCCAACTCCCTTAGGTGGACTAACTGTGTCCACGAACTCATTTAAAGCGCTAGACATTCGCTTTTCGTCCTCTGAATTTCGTAAACAACACCCGTAGTGCGAGAAGGCAGTGACTAGGACTTCCTTGATAGTGGCTTTATGTGTGTGGCATTTGGAGGGGTAGAGCTAACTATCCCCACCGTCGGCATTTGGGGGTAATAGTACGGTTAAACGTAGAGCATTAATTAGAAAATGATTTGTTGGAAAGCTTGTAAACCATCTTCCTAGCTGGTTAAGCTTGTGTTGTACACACTCAACCACAACTCACTCCGAGGTACTATGTTGGCTAGCATAGAAGGTGTATCTGGAAAAGACTAGATGCCATCAAACTGAGATGTGGTAAGCGTGATGTGATTTATACTCTAGTAAAGTAACTTCCACAGGGTTTATGTAACTTGATACGACTTATTTTAACTGTATGGACTAGACTGTCTGAATATCAAACATTGAAATTAATAAGTCCTATTTGAACTGTATATCATATGAAAACATTTTGAATTTTTAGTAATCTGACTAGTTGCATCGAATATTTTCTGTATTATCCTTTGCTAATTAGTTGTAGGTTAATAATCCTGCTAACCGATTAAATGGAATGAACTAGGAAACTAGTAAAGTGAATCAACTGTAGTCTGCAATTAGTTCACAATCCCAAGTGACATTGAAGCTACTCACGAGTAATTTAGTGGTGAAAATGGTAGTTTCATTTTGTCGTCCATTCATGCCTTTTTTTTATCTGACTTTGAACTATGTTTCTCACATAATCCTTGTACTTGTCTTACTCTATAAAGTTTGCATCATGACAATATTCAACTATAATTTATATCCGTTTATAATGTAAGTAATATGTTTCAGGCTCATTTCAAAGAGTTCAAAATTCAAAATATGGTTGGTTCGTGTGATGTCCGCTTTCATATACGTCTTGAAGGTTTAGTATTGTCACAAGGTCAATTTGCAACGTAAGTTTTTAAGTTTTTTTTTCTTCTTTACTTAATAAGGAAGGTTTTTTTGTGACAACCCAAAGAACAATAGCTGAACTAGTAATTAAGCCTGTTTCAGAGTGTTTGCTGAAACATTTAGTATTTTTCCGTCAACAAGAAACTAGACAATTTCCGCATCTGCAACTGTACCAAGTTTCTTCTCTATAATAGAATATTTACTACTACTATATATAGTTTGCACTACATAATATAGAGATAACTTATTGAAGAAATTGGTTGAGGGGAATGCAAACAAAAAAATCAGTGAACAATAGTGGTACATAATGGGAGATATAGTTCGGCTAAAATAACAATCAAGAGACTTCTTTCTGATAACGAAGCTCATCTCACTCTTGTGAGAAATTCAAGTGAAAATAACATCACGATCTCTACTGACTCCAATTTCAAAATGTCTGGTAACTCCTCAAGCCATTGAGTTGCACCATCTCTAGGACCTAAACCAGAGAGGGAATCATGCTGGATCGGTAAGTTCACTCACATTTCTTTGGTACTACTAACAATAGCTAGTTCGACCAAATGGAGATATAGTGTTCTCAGGTTGAACGCGTATATGGTAACTCGCATTAATATCTTTTATCTACCATACCAAATGTTCTAAAGAAGTTTATGTCATGTTTTTCTTTGTAGTGTATTAACACAGTACATTTCGATATTATCTCATATAGATTGTTCTTTTCAAATTTTAGCTATGAGCCAGAATTATTCCCTGGGTTAATTTATCGTATGACTAAACCAAAGATAGTCCTACTAGTCTTTGTTTCTGGGAAGATTGTTCTAACAGGTGAGAGGAAATGAATTTATTTCAGTATTATATAAAATAACTCACTGGTATTACGTGTCATTATTATTACTACTAGCATTCATGAATTTATTAATCCAAATGAATTCGGCAAGTATGATTTGAAGATATGTTAATCTCCAGCTGAAATCATTAGTAGATAAGAAGAACCACATATAGCTTTAACGTTACCATATAAGTAGAAGAATTAGTATGCTAACTGCACTAAATTTTAAATCATACAAATCCTTAGTATTGCCATAGACATCGTTGTTTGATACTATTTTAAAAAAAGATTGGTAACGTATCATCAATCTGTTTAATAAAACACTAATTCAAATTTCTCATATTTTACGTAAGCGATTATTTTTAATCGGATTTCGAGTTTGTGTGGTATGGTAGACTAAGGAGCCAGTTGTTGTTTCAGATCGGCGTGGTCATCCACTATCCTACATGAAATCTATACCATAAAATGAGGACTTGCGCTGGGGAGGATAAAGTCAAACCATCGTGTCAGAACCCAGTCATCCGCTTTTTCAACTTCAACAATTTACTTCAAACAAATTTATTCCAGTGCAACCCATCATTATTTACTCTGATCGGAGCTAAACACTCACTTAACTTATAGCCAGGGGAAGCCAAACAAAAATGTGGCATCAATGCATAAAGTCAGTGACTTCCAATCTGTGTTTTCGTAGATGCAGATATCTGATTGGGGTGGGTATACTTACTGTGACCAATGAATAAAATCTCAGGAGATATAGCACAGATTATCCTTTTTCACTCTCAGATTGTGAATGTCAAAATTATCTTGTGACTTATTCCGCGAATCACCTTCAGCACTAATTCTTTGTACTACCGCCGGTGCTAATTTGGTATTCATCTTTCGAAGTTTATGTGATGTAGGGACTTGGGCCAAAAATGCCCCAGGTTTCACAAGCTTAGGACTGATTGACAACCCACAATAATACTTCAGATGAATGTGATAACAAGCGTCAATATCTTATCAAAACCCATAGTGTTCGTGCCTAAACTTAGCCATTTGGTGCTTCATAATTTCCAGTCATCATAGTTTCAGGATTGTTCTGTTATAAATATAGTAATTAAGACAGACAAAGTTATAGAAACGGATGATAGTTTTTATCAGCCTAGTGATCATCAACTCAACACAATCACTGAGTAATTGTAGTTGTATTTCGTGACTACTCACCAACCACGTTGTCAACATTAGTTCACTTAATTTAGTTTTATCCTATTTGATTCAGGATAGGAAAAAGCCAAATAAAGAGGAATGTTTGACCTTAGTTTGAATAGCGCTGAATGACCAAGTTTTACTAATAACTCATTGCTAGCTACAGATTTGTGTACTTGGTTTTGACCCACTTCAAGTTAAAGGCCTAATGATAATACTCGACTATCCAGACCTAATTAATTAGGGGTGTGGTCAAAACTGTGGTTGGAAGTCGAACACCGTAATCACTGAACCACCGCACCACTGATCATGTGCATATTCACATACAAGTTCTTATTTCTTAAGCTGAGATGGGTAAAATGGATTTTGAAACCTGCAATTCAGTGGATACAGGCTAAATACTTTCATCACTAGGCCCCATATCTCTTAGTTGTACGTTTATCATATACACGGTAACCCAGGGAAAATCAGGGGGCGAGAATGAAGTTATTTTTTAACCACCCCTTGCATCCTACAGCTATCAGTGGCATAGCGACATCGGAAATCACGCTTAGAATATTAATGATGAGATTCACAACTTTATTAGCCAATCCCATGACTCTTACAAAACTGAATCAGCGGATAATTGTCTATAAAACTACTAACATTATATTTATTTTATTTTTTTGTTTATTATCCTATGTAGGAGCAAAGGTTCGTGAAGAAATTTATGAAGCTTTTAATAACATCTATCCAATTTTGAAAAATTTTAAAAAATCTGATAAAGATCCTAGAGCCCTCACATCGTCATCAAATTATATGCATCCATTAACTTGAACTAAATATAAATAACCAATTGTTTTTTTCTCCACGTTATTTTTTACTGCTTTTCTTACTAAGGATTAAAACAAACCGACATTATAAGATACTTTTTCTCAGTTTTTACCAATTGAATTAGTCATGCTAACAGCATTAAAAACTATGTAAATCTCTATGAAACAACAAGCTGTATATTCCTCGAAATCCATGAATTATTTGAACACTCTCTACACATGAAGATTTTCTGCTCGTCCCTCACTATTTTTCCAAGTGTATCTTTATTATATGTTGACATTTAATTTTTGACGTCAATGGCTTTTAGGAATTGTATTTGCTGTCGTTGTGTATATTATAAAACTAGTTGTTTTATTTATTTATTTTAACATGCGCCATTTGTTTCCTCAGGAGACGGCAGTCCATATGCACCATTGTTTTGCAATCAGGGTTTTCCAACTTCCCTAGGTGGACTCCCTATGTCCACCAACCCGGTTAAAGCGCTAGGCATTCGCTTTTCCTTTGAATTTGGTGAACAACACCCGTAGTGCGAGAAGGCAGTGACTAGGACTTCCTTGTTAGTGTGTGGTATTTGGAGAGGTAGAGCTGACTTCCTCCACTCTCGGCTGTACCAGGGCAATGTATGGTTTCTAAACAGTTTGTTAGATTAGACGTCTTACTTAATCTTACATGTTTTTTACACCCTTTAGTACAGTTCGAAGTCTGCATTAACTGTTACACTGTACTTATTATTTATTTATTTAAACACATATATATTGGTACAAAAGGGCACCAGGTACATATGCGCCACACAAAATAATGAAAGTAGGAAGAGAAGGGATGAAAAGATAAGGCGGACTGAAATGTACAACCAGAAGACTCTTTCAAATAGGAAAGTAAGAACCATACTTTATGTAGAAAGTAAAAGAAGGTTGCAGCAGGATCGCCACTGGCTTCGATTCTGAGCCATATCTGATAACGTCTCTAGCCACTGTGTTGCACCATCTCTCGGACCCCAACCAAGGAGTCGTGAAGGACCAACAGAAGCCAGCCCTTTGCAGCTTTCTTTCATGCCACGACACCATGTCATACACTGACCTCCTCTCCGCTTTTTCCAACCAGTCCCAGGGTCGGCAAATAATGCACGACGTGGAAGTCTCTGGGACGACATTCGTAAAACATGTCCAAGCCACCGAAGTCGGTGTTTCAAGATGGTGACACCAATTGAATTATCGTCTCTGTGCCCGAACACACGATGCCGAACCTCTGCATTACTAACATGGTGTTGCCACTGAATGTCAGCAATCCTTCGGAGACAACGATGATCGAACACAGAGAGACGTCTAACATCCTCAACTCGGAGGGGCCAGGTTTCACAAGCATAGAGCAAAACTGCTCTCACCGACGCGTTGTAAATCCGACTTTTTACAGCCAGACTAACATCACGAAGGCGCCAAAGATGGCCCAGATTGGCATAAGCCGCTCTGGCTTTCCTTATACGTGCATCAATCTCATCACTCACGCCACCACCAGCACTTATATAGCTACCTAGATACACGAACTTCTCAACTACTTCGATCTGCTCACCATCCAGGGTGAGTACAGGATTAGAATCCTGCCAGTCTTGTAGAAGTACTTTGCACTTGAAGGGTGCAAAGCACATGCCGTACCTGCGGACACTGATTGCCAACTGATTAAGTGCTGATTGCATGCCTTGGGCATTATCGCACAGTAAGACAATATCATCCGCATACTCAAGGTCGAGAAGTCGTTCTCCAGGCAACATATCCACACCGCCATTACTTACATCCACCAGAGCTGTTTCTAGGATGTCGTCGATGGCAAAGTTGAAGAGGAATAGTGAGATCGGGCAACCCTGCCTAACCCCACTGCTCGAATGGAACAAGGGAGAAAGGTGGTTGTATGCCCTCACTCTGCCTGAGGTGTTCGTGTACAGGGCCTTTAAGATGTTAATGAACTTCTCAGGCACACCCTTCTTCAATAGACAATCCCAGAGAAGAGTCCTGTCCAACGAATCGAAGGCAGCCCTGATATCAAGAAACACTACGATTGTTGGCCTGTGATAAGTATGACGGTGTTCTAACATTTGGCGGAGGGTGAAGATGTGATCAATGCATCCTCGACCAGAACGAAAACCAGCCTGCTCCTCGCGAGTCAATCGTTCTCGGGTTTTAAACAACCTACGAAGGATGATAGAAGCCAATAGTTTGGACGCGATCGAAAGTAGACTTATCCCCCGATAGTTATTGCAGGAACAACGCGAACCCTTTTTAAAGATAGGGACGACTATTGACTCATTCCATGATGTTGGAACACTTTCTTGCTCCCAAACCTTTCCAAACAACACAGTCAATTCCTTAGTCAGAAAGTCGCCACCATCTTTAAAAAGAGCCGGAGGTAAGTCATCTGGGCCAGGTGATTTGTAGCGCTTCAAGAGTTGGGGTTCCTTTCGGACTTCCGCCTCGTTTGGTGGAACAGTCGTCACCGGCCATGGGGGGCAGGACAAGCTGGTTGATGTTGCCGGAGCAGCAGGCCAGTTGAACTGCCCTTCGAAAAATTCCGCCCATCGTCCAAGACGTCGGGAGATGTTAGTGATTGGCATCCCATCATCCTCGTAGATTGTTTCACTCACACCAGACTTCTTGCTGCCAGTGGCTCGGATGAGTTGGAAGAGCTTCCGGCAGTTACCAGATGCAGCTGCTGCTTCCATCTCATTAGCACGCTCCGACCACCAGGCTTCTCGGTCCTTACGCAAGCTTTGCCCAATTTCATTACGTAACAGCCTTCGTTTGTGGTCATACTCACGGTCACCCGGAGTAGACCGACGGGCTTCCATTAGTTGTAAGGAGCCAGAAGAAATCCACTGCTTGTAAGCGGGACGTTTCGCGAAGCCGCAAGCGGCTTTACTCGCCATTTTCATGGCGTCGTGAAGATGCAACCAATGCTCATCTATACTTTTCGGTGGGATGGTAGCTAGCCTAGAGGCTAGCTCCGCTCGATACTTACTTGCAACAGGAGTTGCAGCCAGTTTACTAATATCAATCCGTTGGTGGTGGTCAATCCTTCGGCCACTGAAAAGTAAGGTGAGATTGGCGCAGACCAGGGCATGATCAGACTCCAGATAGGTACTCCAAAAGGAGCGGCAGTCTTGTACACAACCACGCCAGCGGTAGCTGATCGCGATGTGATCAATCTGAGTCCAGGCTTGGGATGCAGAGGGAGGACGCCAGGTGGCACACCGGCGATGACTGTGCCGGAAGTTGGTGCTGGCCAGAAACAGGTTGTGGTCTGTGCACAGTTGCAGCAAACGGTCCCCGTTATCTGTCCTGCGACCAACAAGTCCCCATCGGCCACCTAGACGACTCTCTTCTATGCCTAGACGCCCGACCTGTGCATTCAAGTCTCCGGCTAGTACTACAATATCTGTCGAACGCGCTTTCTGGAGAAGAACTGTTAACTGATGGTAAAACTCATCCTTGATTGCATCCGGGCTGCATTCTGTCGGAGCATAGGCGGAGATGACGAAAAGACACCGTTTCTCACGCCGGTTTCTTCTCACTTTGATGGAACTTTCTAATCTAAAAGCACATAACCGACTGTTAATGGGGATCCAATCGATTAGTGCTGCCTCAGCCCTAGCGCTTAGTGCGACGCCAACGCCAGCAAGACCAGACGAAGATGCCACAGGGTAAGCGCACGTGGAACAAGCTTTTCGAGACAGATGGAGAGCGGATTTGTAGTACTTCACTAAAGTCTTGAATACGGGTCTCGGATAGACAACAAACGTCAACATTAAGACCTTCCAAAGACATAGCCAGCTCTATCTGTTGTCTGATCTGCATTAGTGTGCGAACGTTGAAGGAAGCCAGCTTGAACGGCGTACGTGGTTTCAGAAAGACTGCCTCAGTATTCATTATCGGTGGAAGCATTCACTTTCAACCAGACAGTGACTGGAGATCGTTTAGATAGGACAGATTTTCCACCAAGAGCGAGCTGCTGCATAAGTTGAAAAGTAAGGTTACACAAATTGGGGATAAAAGGGGGTGAATTAGCGATATGGTAAGTAATAATAATAATAATGTAAATTGTCTTGCTTATAATATGAGCAGGAATAGAATCGTCAACAGAGTTCATCATTTCATTCAATTGTGTGTGGGCTGTGATACTGCCCGGGTGCCCAAACCGAAGCAGGTGGTTTTCTTAGGGGACCACACCCCGAGCCTTTGACCTAAAGGTCTGATCCACAAGGCAGTGGAGCATCGTGAGGAGATGCAGTCCCATGGTAGCCGTTGACCAATGACAGGTTCTTCCGCCATTCGTTCCATCAGGATACTGGAGCCCATGTGCACCATTGGTACACTGTACTAGTTTCCAACAATAATACTAATAAGACATAATCAAACTACTTTTAATTGATACCCCTAGCCAGCCAAGTACATTTTCATGTACTTGATCATGAACCTCACAGTGAGAGCTCGTTATGTTATAAAGTTTTACAAGTCAAAGTTAGTGTAACAAGACTCAGACTCGTAGCCTAAAGATTAGGAATCATGTTGTGGAGCTAACAACCATTCCGATATAATGATAATTATAAGGAAAATAGTAAGGTGGTTTCAATGTGTACGTTAAAGATCCTATTATTTCTAATGATGCTACCCTACTTGTAGCGTCATTATTGAAGAAAAAATGTATTACAAAATGACTGGAGATATTGTCTACGCAGTCAGTCATTAACAATGTAAGATCTATCAAGAATAAACATTGCTTCGACCTGAGACATTCCATATCAGCAGATAGTCGGTACTGCATAAGGATAAGGGTCAAGGAAACGTACTAATGAATGTTGACCACGTAGGCCAACAAATGATCATTTGGTGGTTGACGAAATCTAGACATAAGTTTAGGAAACCGCCTTAGCTTCTGCCAACTATCTGAACTTGTGACAAAAGGGAGATATTAATTTGTCCACCAATTGGTGTTTTGTCTTTGGCATCATGGCTGTAAAGTCCACTGAGTTCATAGTTTAGTGTTATTTTGACCCTAGGTGTCTTCTAAGGGTTGCTTGCGTATGTCCGAAAGACCAGCTGGGGATCACCGGCATTAGTGGCTAAATACTAGGCCCTTTAAAATCATGCTATGAGCTTAAGAGATGGTCAGATTGACACAACCCGCTCTAGCATTCTCAAATAGATCGACTTCATCGGGCGGGCCACCGCTAGTTCTCGCAACTGCAAGATACATTATCTTATCGACTGCTTCCGGCGGTTTAGCGCAAAACGTGTGGGTACAAAGCCCATTATTGTAATAACACTTCTCGTTTGGGTGCAAAATACATACCATAGGGATACGTCGGAAGAAAACTACGGATATCACCAATTAATGATGTCACTGGCAATTGGTCTGAGTCAAACCTGCAGGTTCCGACCATTTAGCCTAGCCATGCGCGGCTAGCAGGCTCTAGACGTGGAGCGATAAAGTCACGGATCAACCCACACTATATTCTCTAATCCTTGTTATGTGAACGTGGGTTTTAAGACACTTGTTAGATGCTGTGTTTACACAAACCCAAAGCCAGTACCCTTTGATCCAAACATTTAACACACCATCGAGTAGCACGGAAAATACATTGTTCCTAGAAAAGTACAGGGGCTCGGTCTCGTGCGAACTTCACTAGGTTGCAGATACCCCTGTCTTACGAGTCTTCAATTATACAAAATCCACCCCGGACTCCACTGCTTATTACACAACAAATATACTCAAGCTCGTGACAACCCTATCACAAAGCAACTTATTTGAGATGTAAACGGTGACGGTCCTGAATATCAACTCGAAATTGTGAACCCTCACTACTGTATTCTCCAGTGAATTTATCACTATTACTCATACTTGTTATCCAGACTTCCCTAATAGAGATTTTATTATATCATTGGTGTAGTTTTGCCCCAATAGCTATGGTCAACGCACAACTGTCATTATAGTTCTCACTTTTCAAATTGCTCATATAAGACGCCTAAGTTAATTTACTGATTTTCGTTACCACCCAAATGAACCAACAAAGAACACTAAATAACAATCAGGCTGACGGCGTATACCAAGTGTCTGATCTATGGTCAGGACAATTCCTAGCAAACAGAATATATTATAGCTAAATGGTCGAGATTATCACATCAACTGCAGTAGCATAGACATCAAACTGGACCCACAACCATGTTTAAGGAGAATCCCAGACATAACATACTCTGAGGTGTATGAAACGCAGTAGTTCAGAAAACATATACATTCAGTACGCGCAATATCATACATTTTTGGTTAGCCCTTAACAGTTGGACTACTGAGCGCCAAAACGACAGTTGCAGTCAAGTGACTAGAATGTCTATAACCGATTAACGAGAATGAACAAAGTTAACTTGGTGATGAGTTTTACACTAGTTTGAAGAAACGATTTCAGATATTATAACGGCAATCTATGAGGACCAGATAGACAGACCTACGTTCTGTTGTGTACATAAAGACTATGTCGAACCACGTTAAACAAAGCACAACAGATTGATAAGACCGACAAGCAGTCAACGAATATCGGCACAAACGATCCCAATGATGATCAAAACATAATTACCACAGGAGTGTGTATTAGGAATTAGGACTCAATAGTTTCTTCTGTATACTTATTTTTGTCTTGTCCAGCAAGTTTTCCGGCAGCTTTGCGTTCCAGTAATGAACGACGATCTTTATCCAACTTTAATTTGTGTATCACAACCTAGAGAATATGAAAATAGAATTAACGCTTACATTAGATGGGTGGATGCCGATAGGCGCATATGCTCCATTCATTTTACGACATTGAAGCCTCTCGATGTGGATTACATATTTCTTCCGGTAAACACGGATGACCTTTGCGGGGTTGCAATCCTTTCGCTCACCTCGAACAATCTGTACTTCATCTCCTTTGCGGATGGGCATACTCCGAACTTTGTATTTAGATCGAAGCTCTTTCGATAGAGGAGCGCTCATCAGCCGCCGACGAATATGAGAAGGGGCGTTGAAGTAACGTTTACGGGCTTTACGACGCGAGCTACTAACAAGCTTATTAAACTTCATCTTCCACTACCAGTCACGCTCGACAACAAAAATACCCGCGTCGAAATATTAGCAGTTCAATTAACAATGTCCTGATTCGACCTGTTATTGATCAAATAAGTAGAAATTTGGCGAGATGACTGAGGACTGTGCTTTTCTATTGTTATATACTCATGTATTGTGACTGACCATCACATGGAATGGTCGATGGTTGTCCAATCATTTGAACCATGATTATTCACTGAAAATCTGAAATTCTACCTGAAAACGATTAATAATGAGGTTAAGTTTCAGTTTCAGTTTGGAAGGGACAGGAGGCTTGATGGCCTGTGTTAGTCCTGGCAATGATGGTCTCTCAGCTGATTCAACTTTCTTTTGAAAAAGTCGACGGATGGAGCCTCAACCACGTGCTGAGGTAATGAATTCCACTCGTTGATGATTCCATGGGAAAGTCGGTAGTCAGCTGACAAGTAATTCGTTCTGGGCTTGTGAACTTTTTTGGAGTGTCCTCGTAGATTTTCTGTTTTGGAAGACAAGAAAAATGAGGGCATATCAGGTGCAAATTTGTCATTAAGCAATTTGAAAAATGTAATCAAGTCGCCTCTGATTGTTCGATATGACAGCGGGAATAGGTTTAGCTAGGTCAGTCTAGTACCATACGAGAGCTTCGCTATTCCGGGTATCAGCCTAGTTGCTGTTCTCTGAACCCTTTCCAAGAGTTCACTGTCTTTTTTAGGCAGGGGCTAGCTGCTTGTTTGCAGTAATCAAGTTTAGGGCGTACGAACACTGTATACAAAGTCAGAAACATTTTGACGTCGAGATGCATAAAAGCCCTACGTATGGACCATAAAGTCCTAAAACCTTTGGCGGCTATTGCACGGCAGTGTGCAGTAGTCTTTAAGTCTTGACTAACGATGACGCCTAAGTCATTGTGCGGGTGGACAATGGGCAGCTCAGTGTTATTCATCGTGTATGTATCTGTACCCTGGTGGCCAATATGCATCACAATACACTTGGAAGTGTTTATCGGAAATTGCCAGGTTTGGGACCATTCAGATAATCTCTCCAGGTCATTTCGAAGTTCTAAGCTATCGCCCTTGCTCTGTATCGCTCTCCATATCTTGACATCGTCAGCATAGAATAAGACCGATGACGATAGTAGACGAGGGAGGTCATTTACGTACAGGAGGAATAACACTGGCCTCAAAACTGTACCCTGGGGGACTCCACTAAGCACAGTTTCCCAGCTAGACAACTTGGAGTTCACCCTTACTCTTTGTTGACGCCCAACTAGGAAGTCTTGTATCCACATCAATAGATTGCCTCCACTCCCAACATTCCTTAGCTTATATAACAGCCAGTTATGCGGAACTTTGTCGAAAGCTTTGCTGAAATCGATGTAAGCTACGTCTATAGGTAAATTTTGGTCCTTGAGAGCGCACCAGCGTTAACGAGCGACTAATAAGTTAGTGAGACAAGAGTAACCTGTTCTAAAACCATGCTGCTTTTCGAAGAGGATCCGGTTTTCATCGAGATACTTTAACAGCTCCTTCCGAATAATCTTTTCTAAGATTTCAACAACCACACTAGTTAGGCTAATTGGTCGGTAATTCTCAGGGTTATGTTTTGTGCCTGTTTTGAAGACTTGGCTTACTATGGCGTTCTTCCAGTCTTTTGGTAGACTACCCTGGGTTACGGATAGATTAAAACATACACTTAAAGGGTTCGCAACAAAGTTAGCTGATTCCTTTAGTAAACTAGGATGCTGTTCATCGGGTCCAGTGGATTTACCTATGTCAAGCTTAACTAGCAGACCAAGGCCATTGAGTTCTTTAATGGTCACGCTGTCCAGTGCTTGTGTGGGGGGATTTTCATGGACTGGTGAGAAGGGTGTTTCTATGGTGTATACATCGCTAAAGTATTTAGAGAATATTTGAGCTTTGCCAAAGTCGTCCTCCACTAGTGATGAGGCAGTACTGTCTCCCCATAGTGAAGGAACATTTCTTCTTCTTTTTGTCCTTTGGTTTATATACGAATACAGGCGTTTAGGGCATTCTATGGATTCCCTAACGATTTCCTCTTCGTACAGCTTTCTGGCCTTACGGAGGGTCGAGGCACAGGTATTTCGAGCCTTTTGATACTGAGATTTTGCCTCGTCAGACCCCAGTAACCTAAATCTATCCCACATTTTCCTTCTTTTACGGAGAAGGATGCGAACCTCTCTACTGAACTACGGTGGGGAGTTTCTCGGCCCTTAGGTGTAGTCCAAGGGGTATGGGGGGAGGCAACTTTTAAGTATAAATTCCGGAATACGTCCCAAGCCGTTTCGATTGATGACTCCGGGTCTATTTTCCAATTTACTGATGATGCTGATTTCATGATGTCTGGTATGTTTGCTTTCCAGACGTTAGGTCTAGATTGAGCTGAGGCGTGCTCGTGATCGACAGTTCACTCACATTTCTTTGGTACTACTAACAATAGCTAGTTCGACCAAATGGAGATATAGTGTTCTCAGGTTGAACGCGTATATGGTAACTCGCATTAATATCTTTTATCTACCATACCAAATGTTCTAAAGAAGTTTATGTCATGTTTTTCTTTGTAGTGTATTAACACAGTACATTTCGATATTATCTCATATAGATTGTTCTTTTCAAATTTTAGCTATGAGCCAGAATTATTCCCTGGGTTAATTTATCGTATGACTAAACCAAAGATAGTCCTACTAGTCTTTGTTTCTGGGAAGATTGTTCTAACAGGTGAGAGGAAATGAATTTATTTCAGTATTATATAAAATAACTCACTGGTATTACGTGTCATTATTATTACTACTAGCATTCATGAATTTATTAATCCAAATGAATTCGGCAAGTATGATTTGAAGATATGTTAATCTCCAGCTGAAATCATTAGTAGATAAGAAGAACCACATATAGCTTTAACGTTACCATATAAGTAGAAGAATTAGTATGCTAACTGCACTAAATTTTAAATCATACAAATCCTTAGTATTGCCATAGACATCGTTGTTTGATACTATTTTAAAAAAAGATTGGTAACGTATCATCAATCTGTTTAATAAAACACTAATTCAAATTTCTCATATTTTACGTAAGCGATTATTTTTAATCGGATTTCGAGTTTGTGTGGTATGGTAGACTAAGGAGCCAGTTGTTGTTTCAGATCGGCGTGGTCATCCACTATCCTACATGAAATCTATACCATAAAATGAGGACTTGCGCTGGGGAGGATAAAGTCAAACCATCGTGTCAGAACCCAGTCATCCGCTTTTTCAACTTCAACAATTTACTTCAAACAAATTTATTCCAGTGCAACCCATCATTATTTACTCTGATCGGAGCTAAACACTCACTTAACTTATAGCCAGGGGAAGCCAAACAAAAATGTGGCATCAATGCATAAAGTCAGTGACTTCCAATCTGTGTTTTCGTAGATGCAGATATCTGATTGGGGTGGGTATACTTACTGTGACCAATGAATAAAATCTCAGGAGATATAGCACAGATTATCCTTTTTCACTCTCAGATTGTGAATGTCAAAATTATCTTGTGACTTATTCCGCGAATCACCTTCAGCACTAATTCTTTGTACTACCGCCGGTGCTAATTTGGTATTCATCTTTCGAAGTTTATGTGATGTAGGGACTTGGGCCAAAAATGCCCCAGGTTTCACAAGCTTAGGACTGATTGACAACCCACAATAATACTTCAGATGAATGTGATAACAAGCGTCAATATCTTATCAAAACCCATAGTGTTCGTGCCTAAACTTAGCCATTTGGTGCTTCATAATTTCCAGTCATCATAGTTTCAGGATTGTTCTGTTATAAATATAGTAATTAAGACAGACAAAGTTATAGAAACGGATGATAGTTTTTATCAGCCTAGTGATCATCAACTCAACACAATCACTGAGTAATTGTAGTTGTATTTCGTGACTACTCACCAACCACGTTGTCAACATTAGTTCACTTAATTTAGTTTTATCCTATTTGATTCAGGATAGGAAAAAGCCAAATAAAGAGGAATGTTTGACCTTAGTTTGAATAGCGCTGAATGACCAAGTTTTACTAATAACTCATTGCTAGCTACAGATTTGTGTACTTGGTTTTGACCCACTTCAAGTTAAAGGCCTAATGATAATACTCGACTATCCAGACCTAATTAATTAGGGGTGTGGTCAAAACTGTGGTTGGAAGTCGAACACCGTAATCACTGAACCACCGCACCACTGATCATGTGCATATTCACATACAAGTTCTTATTTCTTAAGCTGAGATGGGTAAAATGGATTTTGAAACCTGCAATTCAGTGGATACAGGCTAAATACTTTCATCACTAGGCCCCATATCTCTTAGTTGTACGTTTATCATATACACGGTAACCCAGGGAAAATCAGGGGGCGAGAATGAAGTTATTTTTTAACCACCCCTTGCATCCTACAGCTATCAGTGGCATAGCGACATCGGAAATCACGCTTAGAATATTAATGATGAGATTCACAACTTTATTAGCCAATCCCATGACTCTTACAAAACTGAATCAGCGGATAATTGTCTATAAAACTACTAACATTATATTTATTTTATTTTTTTGTTTATTATCCTATGTAGGAGCAAAGGTTCGTGAAGAAATTTATGAAGCTTTTAATAACATCTATCCAATTTTGAAAAATTTTAAAAAATCTGATAAAGATCCTAGAGCCCTCACATCGTCATCAAATTATATGCATCCATTAACTTGAACTAAATATAAATAACCAATTGTTTTTTTCTCCACGTTATTTTTTACTGCTTTTCTTACTAAGGATTAAAACAAACCGACATTATAAGATACTTTTTCTCAGTTTTTACCAATTGAATTAGTCATGCTAACAGCATTAAAAACTATGTAAATCTCTATGAAACAACAAGCTGTATATTCCTCGAAATCCATGAATTATTTGAACACTCTCTACACATGAAGATTTTCTGCTCGTCCCTCACTATTTTTCCAAGTGTATCTTTATTATATGTTGACATTTAATTTTTGACGTCAATGGCTTTTAGGAATTGTATTTGCTGTCGTTGTGTATATTATAAAACTAGTTGTTTTATTTATTTATTTTAACATGCGCCATTTGTTTCCTCAGGAGACGGCAGTCCATATGCACCATTGTTTTGCAATCAGGGTTTTCCAACTTCCCTAGGTGGACTCCCTATGTCCACCAACCCGGTTAAAGCGCTAGGCATTCGCTTTTCCTTTGAATTTGGTGAACAACACCCGTAGTGCGAGAAGGCAGTGACTAGGACTTCCTTGTTAGTGTGTGGTATTTGGAGAGGTAGAGCTGACTTCCTCCACTCTCGGCTGTACCAGGGCAATGTATGGTTTCTAAACAGTTTGTTAGATTAGACGTCTTACTTAATCTTACATGTTTTTTACACCCTTTAGTACAGTTCGAAGTCTGCATTAACTGTTACACTGTACTTATTATTTATTTATTTAAACACATATATATTGGTACAAAAGGGCACCAGGTACATATGCGCCACACAAAATAATGAAAGTAGGAAGAGAAGGGATGAAAAGATAAGGCGGACTGAAATGTACAACCAGAAGACTCTTTCAAATAGGAAAGTAAGAACCATACTTTATGTAGAAAGTAAAAGAAGGTTGCAGCAGGATCGCCACTGGCTTCGATTCTGAGCCATATCTGATAACGTCTCTAGCCACTGTGTTGCACCATCTCTCGGACCCCAACCAAGGAGTCGTGAAGGACCAACAGAAGCCAGCCCTTTGCAGCTTTCTTTCATGCCACGACACCATGTCATACACTGACCTCCTCTCCGCTTTTTCCAACCAGTCCCAGGGTCGGCAAATAATGCACGACGTGGAAGTCTCTGGGACGACATTCGTAAAACATGTCCAAGCCACCGAAGTCGGTGTTTCAAGATGGTGACACCAATTGAATTATCGTCTCTGTGCCCGAACACACGATGCCGAACCTCTGCATTACTAACATGGTGTTGCCACTGAATGTCAGCAATCCTTCGGAGACAACGATGATCGAACACAGAGAGACGTCTAACATCCTCAACTCGGAGGGGCCAGGTTTCACAAGCATAGAGCAAAACTGCTCTCACCGACGCGTTGTAAATCCGACTTTTTACAGCCAGACTAACATCACGAAGGCGCCAAAGATGGCCCAGATTGGCATAAGCCGCTCTGGCTTTCCTTATACGTGCATCAATCTCATCACTCACGCCACCACCAGCACTTATATAGCTACCTAGATACACGAACTTCTCAACTACTTCGATCTGCTCACCATCCAGGGTGAGTACAGGATTAGAATCCTGCCAGTCTTGTAGAAGTACTTTGCACTTGAAGGGTGCAAAGCACATGCCGTACCTGCGGACACTGATTGCCAACTGATTAAGTGCTGATTGCATGCCTTGGGCATTATCGCACAGTAAGACAATATCATCCGCATACTCAAGGTCGAGAAGTCGTTCTCCAGGCAACATATCCACACCGCCATTACTTACATCCACCAGAGCTGTTTCTAGGATGTCGTCGATGGCAAAGTTGAAGAGGAATAGTGAGATCGGGCAACCCTGCCTAACCCCACTGCTCGAATGGAACAAGGGAGAAAGGTGGTTGTATGCCCTCACTCTGCCTGAGGTGTTCGTGTACAGGGCCTTTAAGATGTTAATGAACTTCTCAGGCACACCCTTCTTCAATAGACAATCCCAGAGAAGAGTCCTGTCCAACGAATCGAAGGCAGCCCTGATATCAAGAAACACTACGATTGTTGGCCTGTGATAAGTATGACGGTGTTCTAACATTTGGCGGAGGGTGAAGATGTGATCAATGCATCCTCGACCAGAACGAAAACCAGCCTGCTCCTCGCGAGTCAATCGTTCTCGGGTTTTAAACAACCTACGAAGGATGATAGAAGCCAATAGTTTGGACGCGATCGAAAGTAGACTTATCCCCCGATAGTTATTGCAGGAACAACGCGAACCCTTTTTAAAGATAGGGACGACTATTGACTCATTCCATGATGTTGGAACACTTTCTTGCTCCCAAACCTTTCCAAACAACACAGTCAATTCCTTAGTCAGAAAGTCGCCACCATCTTTAAAAAGAGCCGGAGGTAAGTCATCTGGGCCAGGTGATTTGTAGCGCTTCAAGAGTTGGGGTTCCTTTCGGACTTCCGCCTCGTTTGGTGGAACAGTCGTCACCGGCCATGGGGGGCAGGACAAGCTGGTTGATGTTGCCGGAGCAGCAGGCCAGTTGAACTGCCCTTCGAAAAATTCCGCCCATCGTCCAAGACGTCGGGAGATGTTAGTGATTGGCATCCCATCATCCTCGTAGATTGTTTCACTCACACCAGACTTCTTGCTGCCAGTGGCTCGGATGAGTTGGAAGAGCTTCCGGCAGTTACCAGATGCAGCTGCTGCTTCCATCTCATTAGCACGCTCCGACCACCAGGCTTCTCGGTCCTTACGCAAGCTTTGCCCAATTTCATTACGTAACAGCCTTCGTTTGTGGTCATACTCACGGTCACCCGGAGTAGACCGACGGGCTTCCATTAGTTGTAAGGAGCCAGAAGAAATCCACTGCTTGTAAGCGGGACGTTTCGCGAAGCCGCAAGCGGCTTTACTCGCCATTTTCATGGCGTCGTGAAGATGCAACCAATGCTCATCTATACTTTTCGGTGGGATGGTAGCTAGCCTAGAGGCTAGCTCCGCTCGATACTTACTTGCAACAGGAGTTGCAGCCAGTTTACTAATATCAATCCGTTGGTGGTGGTCAATCCTTCGGCCACTGAAAAGTAAGGTGAGATTGGCGCAGACCAGGGCATGATCAGACTCCAGATAGGTACTCCAAAAGGAGCGGCAGTCTTGTACACAACCACGCCAGCGGTAGCTGATCGCGATGTGATCAATCTGAGTCCAGGCTTGGGATGCAGAGGGAGGACGCCAGGTGGCACACCGGCGATGACTGTGCCGGAAGTTGGTGCTGGCCAGAAACAGGTTGTGGTCTGTGCACAGTTGCAGCAAACGGTCCCCGTTATCTGTCCTGCGACCAACAAGTCCCCATCGGCCACCTAGACGACTCTCTTCTATGCCTAGACGCCCGACCTGTGCATTCAAGTCTCCGGCTAGTACTACAATATCTGTCGAACGCGCTTTCTGGAGAAGAACTGTTAACTGATGGTAAAACTCATCCTTGATTGCATCCGGGCTGCATTCTGTCGGAGCATAGGCGGAGATGACGAAAAGACACCGTTTCTCACGCCGGTTTCTTCTCACTTTGATGGAACTTTCTAATCTAAAAGCACATAACCGACTGTTAATGGGGATCCAATCGATTAGTGCTGCCTCAGCCCTAGCGCTTAGTGCGACGCCAACGCCAGCAAGACCAGACGAAGATGCCACAGGGTAAGCGCACGTGGAACAAGCTTTTCGAGACAGATGGAGAGCGGATTTGTAGTACTTCACTAAAGTCTTGAATACGGGTCTCGGATAGACAACAAACGTCAACATTAAGACCTTCCAAAGACATAGCCAGCTCTATCTGTTGTCTGATCTGCATTAGTGTGCGAACGTTGAAGGAAGCCAGCTTGAACGGCGTACGTGGTTTCAGAAAGACTGCCTCAGTATTCATTATCGGTGGAAGCATTCACTTTCAACCAGACAGTGACTGGAGATCGTTTAGATAGGACAGATTTTCCACCAAGAGCGAGCTGCTGCATAAGTTGAAAAGTAAGGTTACACAAATTGGGGATAAAAGGGGGTGAATTAGCGATATGGTAAGTAATAATAATAATAATGTAAATTGTCTTGCTTATAATATGAGCAGGAATAGAATCGTCAACAGAGTTCATCATTTCATTCAATTGTGTGTGGGCTGTGATACTGCCCGGGTGCCCAAACCGAAGCAGGTGGTTTTCTTAGGGGACCACACCCCGAGCCTTTGACCTAAAGGTCTGATCCACAAGGCAGTGGAGCATCGTGAGGAGATGCAGTCCCATGGTAGCCGTTGACCAATGACAGGTTCTTCCGCCATTCGTTCCATCAGGATACTGGAGCCCATGTGCACCATTGGTACACTGTACTAGTTTCCAACAATAATACTAATAAGACATAATCAAACTACTTTTAATTGATACCCCTAGCCAGCCAAGTACATTTTCATGTACTTGATCATGAACCTCACAGTGAGAGCTCGTTATGTTATAAAGTTTTACAAGTCAAAGTTAGTGTAACAAGACTCAGACTCGTAGCCTAAAGATTAGGAATCATGTTGTGGAGCTAACAACCATTCCGATATAATGATAATTATAAGGAAAATAGTAAGGTGGTTTCAATGTGTACGTTAAAGATCCTATTATTTCTAATGATGCTACCCTACTTGTAGCGTCATTATTGAAGAAAAAATGTATTACAAAATGACTGGAGATATTGTCTACGCAGTCAGTCATTAACAATGTAAGATCTATCAAGAATAAACATTGCTTCGACCTGAGACATTCCATATCAGCAGATAGTCGGTACTGCATAAGGATAAGGGTCAAGGAAACGTACTAATGAATGTTGACCACGTAGGCCAACAAATGATCATTTGGTGGTTGACGAAATCTAGACATAAGTTTAGGAAACCGCCTTAGCTTCTGCCAACTATCTGAACTTGTGACAAAAGGGAGATATTAATTTGTCCACCAATTGGTGTTTTGTCTTTGGCATCATGGCTGTAAAGTCCACTGAGTTCACAGTTTAGTGTTATTTTGACCCTAGGTGTCTTCTAAGGGTTGCTTGCGTATGTCCGAAAGACCAGCTGGGGATCACCGGCATTAGTGGCTAAATACTAGGCCCTTTAAAATCATGCTATGAGCTTAAGAGATGGTCAGATTGACACAACCCGCTCTAGCATTCTCAAATAGATCGACTTCATCGGGCGGGCCACCGCTAGTTCTCGCAACTGCAAGATACATTATCTTATCGACTGCTTCCGGCGGTTTAGCGCAAAACGTGTGGGTACAAAGCCCATTATTGTAATAACACTTCTCGTTTGGGTGCAAAATACATACCATAGGGATACGTCGGAAGAAAACTACGGATATCACCAATTAATGATGTCACTGGCAATTGGTCTGAGTCAAACCTGCAGGTTCCGACCATTTAGCCTAGCCATGCGCGGCTAGCAGGCTCTAGACGTGGAGCGATAAAGTCACGGATCAACCCACACTATATTCTCTAATCCTTGTTATGTGAACGTGGGTTTTAAGACACTTGTTAGATGCTGTGTTTACACAAACCCAAAGCCAGTACCCTTTGATCCAAACATTTAACACACCATCGAGTAGCACGGAAAATACATTGTTCCTAGAAAAGTACAGGGGCTCGGTCTCGTGCGAACTTCACTAGGTTGCAGATACCCCTGTCTTACGAGTCTTCAATTATACAAAATCCACCCCGGACTCCACTGCTTATTACACAACAAATATACTCAAGCTCGTGACAACCCTATCACAAAGCAACTTATTTGAGATGTAAACGGTGACGGTCCTGAATATCAACTCGAAATTGTGAACCCTCACTACTGTATTCTCCAGTGAATTTATCACTATTACTCATACTTGTTATCCAGACTTCCCTAATAGAGATTTTATTATATCATTGGTGTAGTTTTGCCCCAATAGCTATGGTCAACGCACAACTGTCATTATAGTTCTCACTTTTCAAATTGCTCATATAAGACGCCTAAGTTAATTTACTGATTTTCGTTACCACCCAAATGAACCAACAAAGAACACTAAATAACAATCAGGCTGACGGCGTATACCAAGTGTCTGATCTATGGTCAGGACAATTCCTAGCAAACAGAATATATTATAGCTAAATGGTCGAGATTATCACATCAACTGCAGTAGCATAGACATCAAACTGGACCCACAACCATGTTTAAGGAGAATCCCAGACATAACATACTCTGAGGTGTATGAAACGCAGTAGTTCAGAAAACATATACATTCAGTACGCGCAATATCATACATTTTTGGTTAGCCCTTAACAGTTGGACTACTGAGCGCCAAAACGACAGTTGCAGTCAAGTGACTAGAATGTCTATAACCGATTAACGAGAATGAACAAAGTTAACTTGGTGATGAGTTTTACACTAGTTTGAAGAAACGATTTCAGATATTATAACGGCAATCTATGAGGACCAGATAGACAGACCTACGTTCTGTTGTGTACATAAAGACTATGTCGAACCACGTTAAACAAAGCACAACAGATTGATAAGACCGACAAGCAGTCAACGAATATCGGCACAAACGATCCCAATGATGATCAAAACATAATTACCACAGAAGTGTGTATTAGGAATTAGGACTCAATAGTTTCTTCTGTATACTTATTTTTGTCTTGTCCAGCAAGTTTTCCGGCAGCTTTGCGTTCCAGTAATGAACGACGATCTTTATCCAACTTTAATTTGTGTATCACAACCTAGAGAATATGAAAATAGAATTAACGCTTACATTAGATGGGTGGATGCCGATAGGCGCATATGCTCCATTCATTTTACGACATTGAAGCCTCTCGATGTGGATTACATATTTCTTCCGGTAAACACGGATGACCTTTGCGGGGTTGCAATCCTTTCGCTCACCTCGAACAATCTGTACTTCATCTCCTTTGCGGATGGGCATACTCCGAACTTTGTATTTAGATCGAAGCTCTTTCGATAGAGGAGCGCTCATCAGCCGCCGACGAATATGAGAAGGGGCGTTGAAGTAACGTTTACGGGCTTTACGACGCGAGCTACTAACAAGCTTATTAAACTTCATCTTCCACTACCAGTCACGCTCGACAACAAAAATACCCGCGTCGAAATATTAGCAGTTCAATTAACAATGTCCTGATTCGACCTGTTATTGATCAAATAAGTAGAAATTTGGCGAGATGACTGAGGACTGTGCTTTTCTATTGTTATATACTCATGTATTGTGACTGACCATCACATGGAATGGTCGATGGTTGTCCAATCATTTGAACCATGATTATTCACTGAAAATCTGAAATTCTACCTGAAAACGATTAATAATGAGGTTAAGTTTCAGTTTCAGTTTGGAAGGGACAGGAGGCTTGATGGCCTGTGTTAGTCCTGGCAATGATGGTCTCTCAGCTGATTCAACTTTCTTTTGAAAAAGTCGACGGATGGAGCCTCAACCACGTGCTGAGGTAATGAATTCCACTCGTTGATGATTCCATGGGAAAGTCGGTAGTCAGCTGACAAGTAATTCGTTCTGGGCTTGTGAACTTTTTTGGAGTGTCCTCGTAGATTTTCTGTTTTGGAAGACAAGAAAAATGAGGGCATATCAGGTGCAAATTTGTCATTAAGCAATTTGAAAAATGTAATCAAGTCGCCTCTGATTGTTCGATATGACAGCGGGAATAGGTTTAGCTAGGTCAGTCTAGTACCATACGAGAGCTTCGCTATTCCGGGTATCAGCCTAGTTGCTGTTCTCTGAACCCTTTCCAAGAGTTCACTGTCTTTTTTAGGCAGGGGCTAGCTGCTTGTTTGCAGTAATCAAGTTTAGGGCGTACGAACACTGTATACAAAGTCAGAAACATTTTGACGTCGAGATGCATAAAAGCCCTACGTATGGACCATAAAGTCCTAAAACCTTTGGCGGCTATTGCACGGCAGTGTGCAGTAGTCTTTAAGTCTTGACTAACGATGACGCCTAAGTCATTGTGCGGGTGGACAATGGGCAGCTCAGTGTTATTCATCGTGTATGTATCTGTACCCTGGTGGCCAATATGCATCACAATACACTTGGAAGTGTTTATCGGAAATTGCCAGGTTTGGGACCATTCAGATAATCTCTCCAGGTCATTTCGAAGTTCTAAGCTATCGCCCTTGCTCTGTATCGCTCTCCATATCTTGACATCGTCAGCATAGAATAAGACCGATGACGATAGTAGACGAGGGAGGTCATTTACGTACAGGAGGAATAACACTGGCCTCAAAACTGTACCCTGGGGGACTCCACTAAGCACAGTTTCCCAGCTAGACAACTTGGAGTTCACCCTTACTCTTTGTTGACGCCCAACTAGGAAGTCTTGTATCCACATCAATAGATTGCCTCCACTCCCAACATTCCTTAGCTTATATAACAGCCAGTTATGCGGAACTTTGTCGAAAGCTTTGCTGAAATCGATGTAAGCTACGTCTATAGGTAAATTTTGGTCCTTGAGAGCGCACCAGCGTTAACGAGCGACTAATAAGTTAGTGAGACAAGAGTAACCTGTTCTAAAACCATGCTGCTTTTCGAAGAGGATCCGGTTTTCATCGAGATACTTTAACAGCTCCTTCCGAATAATCTTTTCTAAGATTTCAACAACCACACTAGTTAGGCTAATTGGTCGGTAATTCTCAGGGTTATGTTTTGTGCCTGTTTTGAAGACTTGGCTTACTATGGCGTTCTTCCAGTCTTTTGGTAGACTACCCTGGGTTACGGATAGATTAAAACATACACTTAAAGGGTTCGCAACAAAGTTAGCTGATTCCTTTAGTAAACTAGGATGCTGTTCATCGGGTCCAGTGGATTTACCTATGTCAAGCTTAACTAGCAGACCAAGGCCATTGAGTTCTTTAATGGTCACGCTGTCCAGTGCTTGTGTGGGGGGATTTTCATGGACTGGTGAGAAGGGTGTTTCTATGGTGTATACATCGCTAAAGTATTTAGAGAATATTTGAGCTTTGCCAAAGTCGTCCTCCACTAGTGATGAGGCAGTACTGTCTCCCCATAGTGAAGGAACATTTCTTCTTCTTTTTGTCCTTTGGTTTATATACGAATACAGGCGTTTAGGGCATTCTATGGATTCCCTAACGATTTCCTCTTCGTACAGCTTTCTGGCCTTACGGAGGGTCGAGGCACAGGTATTTCGAGCCTTTTGATACTGAGATTTTGCCTCGTCAGTCCCCAGTAACCTAAATCTATCCCACATTTTCCTTCTTTTACGGAGAAGGATGCGAACCTCTCTACTGAACTACGGTGGGGAGTTTCTCGGCCCTTAGGTGTAGTCCAAGGGGTATGGGGGGAGGCAACTTTTAAGTATAAATTCCGGAATACGTCCCAAGCCGTTTCGATTGATGACTCCGGGTCTATTTTCCAATTTACTGATGATGCTGATTTCATGATGTCTGGTATGTTTGCTTTCCAGACGTTAGGTCTAGATTGAGCTGAGGCGTGCTCGTGATCGACAGTTATATGGAAGTCAAAGCTTAAAACTGCATGATCACTTTTGCCTAGGGGTGGCATGTAATCCTGGTTTGCAACGTCATCCTCATAATGAGTCAATATAAGATCTAGTAGGGATGGTGCAGAACCCGGGTCGTACCTA